TGAAAACACTGAAAAGATGCGGGCCCGTGGGGTCAAGCGACATATTACAAGGAAAAGTATGGTGAGAAGGCGTACGTATACAACAAGTGCATTTCTTTTACCACGTAGGTGATGTCGTCGACATCAACGCGATCTCCGATATCATAAGGGTCTGGCGAGCATATAAATTTGAATCAAGCTTTAGCATCAACCAGTAAAGTGATGGTGACGCTGGAGAACTCACGCTTGATGAACAGAAAAACAACGGAAGACAGAACTTCTTGCGCGGTGGCTCCGATCAACCAACTCAGACCCAGTGTGAGTGTTCCCGCAGAAGCAAGCATCGTTTGGAATGACACATCCAGCAATGCAATTCTGGGATGGAAACCAATTAGGGTGAGATAACACCATCATCGATATAGGTGAGGTACATACATTATGAGTAACGATATAAAGTACCTGATCAAGACCAAAGAATGATGAGTAAAACATACGAAGAAGCAAAATCGAATCAAGGAGCAGCTCACCATATAAACATTAGAATCGAATCTAATCGCCCAACGGCGCTGTCAAGATCACGCATGCTCTGAGGAAATCAAAGAAGTCAGATTTTAGAAAAGAAGATAGGGAATGACGGCGACTAACGGAACCCAAGGACAGTCTCTCGCGGTGAAGCTGAAGTTTGAAAACCGGGTTAATTTGGTGGAAGGCACAGCAGTATTGTAACATGAAGACGTACATCCAAGCAAGCCAGTTCGATGTCTTCCAAACTGGCGTCGCCATTTTCGTCCTTGTCGAAGATTTCAAAAGCTTCTCGGGACTGGTCTTCGTTGTCAAAAAACTTGCCAATGTCACTCAAAACCATCATTGTTCGATAGTGAGTGGGAACAAAGCTGTAATAGATCCTGCGAGCGAGTTGTCGAGTTTTGTTGGCGGAGGAGAGCGCAGAGAGGACCATCGAGGCGGGTGAGTTGGGTTGAAGGATCCGCTCGCCAGCTATCTGTTCTCGGCGATTCCACGAAGACCTGATGTCAATATTGACTCTTGAATATCATAGCGTTGATGGAATGAACAGACCTCGGAAGCTACAGTGCCAAAGACAGTGGTAGTAGACTTGGCAACTTGTTTAACACCCTTCAAGGCTTTGCGAAGAACTCTAGCGGGGTCAGCACCTCTACCGCCAGCCAAATAACCGCGATCCAGCGTATCGGAGCGCCCGATGTCATGGCTGTTCATATACAATGTCACGAGAGCACGGATAGCCTGCTTCTGTTCGCGAATTCGATCTTCATATGACCGGCGGTGGAAATTACTGGGGGAAGCGCGGTGGGGTTAGCTCCTCTATGGTTGAGAGGTAAAACGGTTCTTGAATTCTGTCACAACTGACCTGGCGATGATCTGAATCAAAAGTTTTTCGGCAACAAGAATGAGAGTCGATAGAAACATTCCGAACAGCCCCTGAAAAGAAATGTAGTGTCAGCCGTTTGATGTCATGGGAAATGGCTTCGAAAAGTCCTGTTAAGCCCACTTGAATCATCCAATGTAAGACATGATCGTCCCCTTCGGTGATATTGTTCATTTTGTGTTTCAAAATGAACACGTTGAAAGTCACTGGGTAATTGAAGAAGAAATGTCAATAAATGCGGAATGACCGGGATAAAATTGTGAACATTGAATTTTATACTGACACCAACTCAAGAAACTCCATACGGCCCCCATGATGACTTTCTTCATCGGAGTCAAATAACCGACCCATTTGTCAACAAATCCAGGGGGAAGAATCACTCCAATGGTATATTTGAAAACCTTGGGTGTGAGGATCCCAATGGCAAGACCAATCCACCACCCGCCCCAAGCAATTGAGAGCCAAGCTGACCACCAAACCAGCTCTACACCCCATATGCTGTCAAGTCATTCAAAAACACGTATCAGAGAAAAGAGAAGCTTGAAAGTGGAAATGCGATTGGCACTGAACTCGAGATGGCTCTTGTCGAGCGTGAGACCGATTATTCCTGGGATCCATACCAAGACAAGTACCGGTGTGATGAAAAAGAACCAGCGGATAATAATGTTGGAGTCATAAAGCGAGACCCATGAACGAGCGAAGGCGTTGTTAGGTTTGATGAAATCGCCGTCGGCGAAACGGATGGTTTGCCGAGACGATTGACTGATCTCAGGGGTGCTTTCCATACGATGATATTGGGTACGCCGGTTAGCAAGACGGTTAACGCGCGTGGCCTGATCGAGGGGTGTATCGAGATATTTTTCGCGAACAGAGTGCGAGGGGCTGAGATGAGGTGTTGATGTTGTGTGGGCTGTGCATGCAGAGTCAGGGTAAGTGGGAGTGCTAGAATGTGGAGGAGTCATTGTTGTAAAGTCCCGTGCCGTCACTGTTACGGCTGAGGTGGCTAGGCACCGTAGGTGGCTTGGCATTCAGCCTAGTCTCATCCGTTTTCGGTTTAGCCCAGGTGGAAGATCTAGGAATGTTAGATCGGGCTGGTTTCATCTTATTCGTTAGCTTATTCTTGTAACGCCTAGCTGAAACATGTTTCAGATAAATAGCAATAGTTTCTCCCTAAACTTGTGTTGTTCTCTATTGTCACATTCTCTTTTGTTTGTTTCGGTAGATTCACTAACACTAGTTTCATCTAGGTAGAACCTTATTTCTCTTTATGCAATTGTCACATTCTCTTTTGTTTGTTTCGGTAGATTTCACTAACACTAGTTTCATCTAGTTTGCTTCCCACTGCTTTCGTCCCAATAGGTTATGAGCTTTAGAGTCCCAGACGACTCAGATATATCCTTCGAATCAGCGCAATCCGAACCTACCGTTTTTAACAATCAATCTTCTTCTGACAATCAATCATCGCTTGACAATCAACAACTTACCTCAAACCCTTACGCGACTACCATCGAACCGCTCGACCCCGAGACCATGGAACCTGAAATGCAAGTTGCTGGAACTCAAGGACCACCTGCTGCTGGAGTTAACAATTCCCAGAACTTACAGCAGATCCTTCAGCAACAGTCAATCACGAACGCTCCCCAAACCGTCCATCAGACTATTACCAATGTCTTCACCATTACCGGCAGTGAAAACCCGGACTCTTGGATCGTTAGAACTCGCAACTGTCAAGTAAAATTGGCAAGTCTGGTCGAACTCTTACCAGACGGTTCTAATTTCGACGTTTGGGATGCCGATATCCTGGCTTACTTGGAAATCTTGACTGGGTGCATCGATTATCTCCATCCAGCAGCTATTCCTTCCGTTGATGGCTGGCGTGAAGATATTGCCCGCGGTATCAATGGGTTGTTTCACTGGACTATTGACCGAAGCGTTGCTATACGTCTTACGGAACATTCTTCTATTCCATCGGTTCGGTATGCTTGGCTCAAAAGTCAATTCTCGGGTCAGACTTTCGCGGGTCGAATGTCATTACTTCATGAATTCATATCTATCAAGTATGATCCATCTTCGACTACTTTGGATGCTCATATTCAATCTGCTTCGACTCTCCGCCGTAAACTTGAAAGATCTGGCATGTCAATTCCTGAAGACATTTTCGCTGGTATTCTTTTAAATGGTGTTCCTAACGACTTTCCCAACATTACGAACACTTTCGAGGCTATGATAATCAACGACCCTCGAGCTACGGTCAATTCATCATCAATGATCAGAGCTATTGGAGCAGCTGATGTGGCTCATCGTCGAGGCAACATATCTGTTGCTGATGGACTCAATACTTCGATTTCAAGATCACCCAAAGCGAAGGGTCCACGTTGTTATTATTGCAAGAAGACCGGTCACACTAAACCGGAATGTCCTGTACTCAAGGCTAAGGACAAGAAGCGCAATACTCCTGTGGCTTCTACTTCTGATGCACGAACTGTTGAACCTCAGTTCGCGGACATCGATTTCTCAGGGTGTGTGGATATCCGTCATATAATGGTTTCACAACTGGACACTGATATCACTCCCTCTACCATCATCTTCGACACTGGCGCAACTCATCACGTTTTCAATGACCGCTCTCTTTTCATTTCTATCCGCAACATTACTCCCTTACCAGTTAGAATGGCCAATAACAATTCTTCTTCTTTTATTACTGGTGTTGGTCGTGTTAGAATATGCAATGTAACAAACTCTAATGAGTTTTTAGAAGTCAATAACGTCTATTTTTGTGAGAATCTTCGCCACAGTCTTCTTTCTGGTATTCAACTGGAGGAGGATGGTATTACTTTTCGAAATTCATCAAAAGGTATTGAACTATGGAAGAGTGGTTCAAGAATCTTAACAGCAATCAAGTCAGGAAGAAAATGGATTTTAAAGGCCTTTTCGCAGCCTGTTGAAACTGCTGCTGTTTTGGGCGATTTTATGCTTTGGCATCGCCGCCTCGGTCATGTTAATGACAGAGTTTTATTGAAGCTTGTTCGTGAAAAATCTTGTGTTGGATTGCCTGAAAAGCTGACGAAAACTGTAGCTTGTGAAGATTGTGCAATCGCCAAATCAACAAAAACTTCGACTATTGGTCCTTCTTTAATTTCTTATGATGGACCACTTCAACTTGTGGTAGCTGATCTTTGTGGACCTTTTCCAGTCAAAACCATATCAGGTTCTGAATATTCTTTGGAAATTCGTGACGTCTATTCTACTTTCATGAGGACTTATTTATTAAAATCCAAGAATGAAGCAGCTAATCAAATCAAGATTTTCATAGCTGAAGCAGAACGCCGTACTGGGAAGAAGGTTATTCATTGGAGGACTGATGGTGGTGGTGAATTTGTCAACAACGCATTGAAATCATACTTTGCTGAGAAAGGTATCAAAATTCAAACTTCGCTTCCTTATTTTCATGAGCAGAACGGTTCAATTGAGCGTGCAAATCGAACAGTTCAAGGTGGTATGAGGGTGCTTCTTCGAGACTCAGGTCTCCCAAAGAAATTTTGGGGTTTTGCGATCATCACAGCAACTGATCTTCATAATAGAACTCCGAATTCAAACACCGGCTCTAAAACCCCTATCGAACTAATGTTTGGTTTTTCTCCACAAGTCGATCATCTTCGGATCTTTGGAAGTTGGGCTTTTGTTCATGTACCTGTTGAAAAACGCAAGAAGCTGGACGACCGAGCAATTAAATGTCGATTTGTCGGTTATCTTGATGCCAGTAAGGGTTGGAGATTCTGGAATCCTATCAACAATGAATTTATCGACTCGGCACATGCGCGATGGTTAGATGAGAAAGCTACAAGTCGGATTCTCCCGGAGCCTGTTTCTACTCATCTTGATGAATCTTCATTAAATCATATTCTTGCTTCCAACGACACCATTGAAAATCATGAAGAACTCCGAATCTTGTTCGAATCTCTTTCTATCACTTATTCCCTTGAAGATCGTCTTTTTACAGAAACTGTTCGACAGCAGGATCTCAATATCGATCTGTTGCATGCGAAAGCTGCTGGGTTTGCTCAACGTCTTCCTCGCAGTTATCAGGAGGCAATGAATAGTGAATATTCGACGGAATGGAAGGATGCTTGTAAGAAGGAATTGGAAATGCTTATTCGTTTGAAAGTATGGGAAGAAGTTGTTTTACCTCCTGGTCAGAAGACTGTATCAAGCAAATGGGTCTTTGCTGAAAAAACAGACGCGCATGGAAACATCACTAAAAGAAAATCTCGGTTTGTTGTCAGGGGTTTTACTCAACGCGAAGGACTCGATTTTTCTGAAACTTTCGCACCGACAGCCAAATTCACCTCACTAATGATAATTTTCTCAATCACTGTGTTTCATGGATGGCATATCAGGGGTTTCGACGTTGTGGCAGCTTATCCACATAGTCCAATCGACGAGACTATATATGTAAAGCCGGCTGAAGGAGTCCTCACATCAAAACCAAATCTTGTTCTTCTGCTACGCAAAGCTCTGTACGGTACTAAACAAGCCGCACGGTGTTGGTGGAAGCACTTTTCTTCGATTTTAGCAGGTATGGGTTGTAAGTATTGCATTAATGACCAGAGTTTGTATGTCTTGCATTACAAAAACAACATCGCCTTGCTATGGATTCATGTGGATGATGGAGTCATTTGTGGCTCATCAATCGACATCATAAATTTTATTCATGAATCATTATTAAAAACATTTCAAATTACATGGAACGACAATTTGGAACAAATCGTTGGTATCAAAATCGACTACAAACCTGACGGAATCTTTCTGTCGCAACCAACATTAACATCAAGTGTTCTAGAATCAACTGGTTTCACTACTTCGAAGACTTCGACTCCGATGATAGCAAATCTTCAATTGGACACCTCCGACAAAGACGCTATCGGTGTGAACGCCTCATCTTATCTTTCGATTTTGGGTTCCCTTTCTTACCTTGCAATTGGAACTCGACCCGATATCTCTTTTTCTGTTAACTATCTTGCTCGTTTTTCATCAAAACCAGGCGACAAACATTGGTTGGCGTTGAAACATCTACTTAGGTACATTAGTGGAACGAAGAATGAGGGTATTTATTTTAGGAAGAAGGAACAGGATGCGGATTTGGTTACTTTTTGTGATGCGAACTGGGGGGGTGAATTCTCTAGGTCTACTCATGGTTTTGCAGTTTTTTTATTTGGTAATTTAGTTTCATGGGCCTCAAGAAGGCAGAGTTGTGTAGCAACATCAACGTGTCATGCAGAGTATATGGCTTTAGGAGTAGCTGCACGGGAATCAATCTGGATTCAAAATTTATTAGAAGATATTTTCAAGAAAACTTTTATTACAACTTTGAAATGCGATAATACGGCCGCCATCAAAGTAGCTCAAGATTTACATTTGACAAAAAGATCACATCATGTTGCTAGGGAATTTCACTATGTCAATGAACAAATATTCGACGGGAATTTAAAAATTACTTGGATTGACGGACCCAATCAAAAGGCGGACATTCTCACTAAATCTCTTGGTAATGTTATCTTTCAAATCCACAAGCATAATATCTGCATGTCTTAGGTGGTATAAACCTCTAAAGGTTGAGGGGGGGGTGTTACGGCTGAGGTGGCTAGGCACCGTAGGTGGCTTGGCATTCAGCCTAGTCTCATCCGTTTTCGGTTTAGCCCAGGTGGAAGATCTAGGAATGTTAGATCGGGCTGGTTTCATCTTATTCGTTAGCTTATTCTTGTAACGCCTAGCTGAAACATGTTTCAGATAAATAGCAATAGTTTCTCCCTAAACTTGTGTTGTTCTCTATTGTCACATTCTCTTTTGTTTGTTTCGGTAGATTTCACTAACACTAGTTTCATCTAGGTAGAACCTTATTTCTCTTTATGCAATTGTCACATTCTCTTTTGCATGCAGAGTCAGGGTAAGTGGGAGTGCTAGAATGTGGAGGAGTCATTGTTGTAAAGTCCCGTGCCGTCACAACCCCTTCAGACGATTTTGGAAACGCTCCCTTGGGTGCAGTTTCGCCCCTGGTTTCAGGTTCTTTGGCTGTATCCTCAAAATTGATATATTCGAAACCAGAGAGGGCTGCTTGTCGCGGTGGCATATCGAAAATTGTTTGGGTAGAAAAACTCGGTTGGTATTCCTGCAAATGCTCTGTATTGTAGGGCAAACGAACGGAATCGCTTGGAGAGATGTTTTGGCGTCTTGACTCCGGCGACTGAGATGATAGTGAGTTTTGACCGGTTGCTGGGGACACAGGCATCTGCGATGCTTATGTGTTAATTTTTATTCGATTGATCGTGTCAGCCTATAGAATGGGCAGTCACATCAATTATGAAAGTATGCAGTAGGTGACTAGGGTAGGTGGACCTGAAGTACGATTGAACCGAAAAGGATTTGAAAAAATGAGTTGGACTGATGAAATTGCACCAGGGCAGGCTCATTAAAAGGGTTGAAAACAAAATGGGTTCAATGAAGTGCAGCCCTGTAGATACGCACTCCTTCATGAAGCTTCATGGAGGATTCATGCTGGATAGGGAGCTTTACCCGCGAAGGCAACTTTTTAGCGAGCAGACGGAACCTGCCAACATCATGGTGTGAAATGTAGAAAACTGAGAAGACCAGAAGCGATCGGTAAGCAGACTGGCTCGTGTGATGAGACGGTGGTAGGTCACGTCGGCTTTACGCTTATCCATGACTCTCAGGGGTCGGATTCCAAAACTGAGTGATCCTTGCATCCTACCACCCAGCAGTGCCCATTGTCAAACCAACCAGTTTCAGCATCACGATGAAGGTTAAGCATCTGGTCGCATCAATGCAGATCGCCACATTGCAACTAATCCAGACAGATGAAGTTGACTCAAACCGCCTTCCTTAGTCTGGAACTCTGGCCTCCTTTTTCCTACAGAATAGCCTATGTACCCCTTGTCTCGATCCTGGTGAGCCGTCCACTGCCAACATGCTGCAACGCCTCCTCTCAACGTTCGCAATCCGGTCATAGCTCGCTACGCGCGACTCAGCAACTGATCAAACGAGAACGAGATCATATACGCGCGCCGCGGGCGTGACATCGTGATCGTCACAAATGTCAGTTTTCATCACTTTGCACACGATGCCAGACGAGTCGCATTGTCACAGGGCGGACACTTGATAGACTTCGACCCTGGATCTCGGCACTGCTGACGGAAATACTTCTTCGGGGTTTCATGCTTTTATGCCCAGCATAGGATGATGGCACACAGGCTGGCTGGCTGGGATGATGTACAGTCGTTTTCAAAAAGCTTGCCGCTAATTCACCGCCCAATTGCTCGAGTTTTGCGGGCAAATTTCGGCAAGCTTTTTGAAAACGACTGTATGATCTTGCCACATGTGCAAAGCCAAAAATGAAGCAGGAATAAGACTGTATTGAAATAAAACCTAAAGAATGCTGTAAGCAAACAGTTATGACAAGCTTACTTGTGGAAAAGTCTTGCAAACAGCTTTGATATTTATATATGTCAATGTTGTCCAGGAGGGTGGTGATCAAACCACTTTGTGTTGACTATTAGAGTGTACAGAGTGTACAATGGAGATTGGTGGGATGATCATTGTTGTGAATCCACCTTTGCCATAAGGGGACTTTCCCGCGGCTGGTCACGATGTTTTCACAGCCCTGCTGATGCTCACCTGCGCTGCTCTTTGGATTCCCTGAATAGGGCGATTATAGACGCTTACATATACCCTTTTGAAAAATAAAGAACACGGCGTGTGGAGTTGCGTGAAGATGTTTGCTGTGCGCAGGATCTGAGAAAGCTGGATCAAGTCGACGATAGATCGTAGTGTTTCAAGTTTTGAGTTTTGGTCACGCTCCCTTGTTCAGCTCAAAACCCCTCAGACAGGGATGCTATGTAACTTACGCTTCAGGATTTTGATAGCCGTCTTTCTCAAAGCAGCCAATCGAGGTGAGCGAGAGTGAGCCGAATGATGGGCAGAGAATCTGGAGCGTGATTCTCGCACCTCGCAATCAGCAGAGAGGGTGTGAACCGTGTTCCAGGTAAGTAAGTAAATCTTCATGGTTCCTGTGTGATTGATTGAATTGGTGGTGTAGAGTTTGAGACGATAAGGGAAGTAGTTTACTTCCATGATCCCCTATCTCCCCTTCTCTGATCGCATCAGCACAGTGATATCCCATAATCGTCACGACTTGAATCAATCTCCAGATACATAGTACTCTCTGAATTGGGGGCCTATGACCAATCAAGGTGGGTCGGTCTATCCTTCGCTTGGTGAAGTTATGTACATATGCTTATCTTCGGCAATCACAGCATTGCATATTTCTACACTTGGTTCACTTTCATCCTGCAAGCTAAGAAAATAAGTCAGAGGTCGTCATCATGCCTTCTGCTGAACTTACCAGTTTCCCCTCCGACGACTTGGAGAAAGGCCCATCAGCTGTTGCCAACGAATCGGCCCTGGCCACCGAAAATCAAACCACTCCGATAACTGATATCAAGTCGCGATCCATTGAGTCTTCGCCGAGAAAGTAAGCTTGATCCACGATGGTCCTTGTTCGAGAAATTCACCTTCGATATTCATCATCGTTCTGCCAATGAAGCCCAGCGTCTCCTCCTCCACGGCCCGTCTGGCTTCGCCCGCTACTTCATATCGGTCAGGCCTTGTTCTACAGTCGCTCTTGCTACCCGAATTTCAATTTTAAGGTTCCCGAGAAGAATCTAACGCTATCCATTACATTCATGACATTTTCTTAGCTCTTATCTTGCTTCTCCTGGGCTGGTACATCCCTGGGCTTATCAATCGATCCACTCGTCATAAATGGGTCATCACTACATTCTGGACAGCAATTTTCCTAATCGTCTGTAAGTCAATATTGAAGCTTCTGCCTAACAACAATATCATAAGAAATAATTGATAATTTTCATCACGGACTTTGGATAGTGGCTAGCCAATATAGTTCATTTCTTCGACTGTTCAGAACTTTGACGCGTCCAATCTTTTCGCCTCTCGCACGTCTTTGGAATGCGTGTCCTCGTTGGTCGCGTTATTTATTCGGTTGGGCAACACTAGCTGCACTTATTATTGTACCTATGGTCTGTATTCCAGTACAAACTGGAAACTCCATCAAAGATCGTGCTGTATCATTGTTGGGTTTGGTAGTTTTCCAATTTGGCTTTTGGTAAGTAGAGCGATCAAAGATTTTTTGAAGTAATCATATTTGAAAAAGCTCACTATGATGAATGTTTGGGGTTTCAGGGCTACTTCCGTACATAGGACGAAGGTAAGATGGAGAACTGTGATCATCGGTCTCATCTTTCAGCAGGTCCTCGCCTTGTTTGTGATCCATACTTCAGCTGGGTATGTTCCTATTTTGTTTTCTTGACCCGAGAGTCTGTGAGGAGACACGCTTTAATCCACCGCATATATCTACTTGTTGACCTTTGAACTCCTTATCAATATGCAGACTTTCTATCTAACTCTCTTATCGCGTCTTTTACTTTGATATTCAACCGATTAGATTCGATCTCTTCAGTTGGATCGCCAAAGCCTTTACCGATTTACTTGACACTGGTACAAGAGCCGGTGGATTTTTCTTTAATCAACAAGTCCTCGATCAAAATTGGTTCTGTGAGCAACTCATCAGTTGTCAAACTTGACTCATAGCTTTTCGTGTGCTGAGAGTTTTGTTCTTTCACAATCTCCAACAGTCGTCAATGTCTTAGCTGCCATAATTTATTTCATTGCTTTGGTCCAATTGTTATGTGAGTGAAGATTTATAGATTTTGATTGTTTTTCGGATGTTATCACTTACTTCATTGATTTGACGTTTTTAGACTATTTGGGAGTTATGCAGTGGATTCTACTTAATCTTGGTTATTTCTTTTTCAAAGTTATGGACGTGAGCGGCGCAGAAGCTGTAGTTGCGGCTGCGTCCCCTTTTGTAGGACAAGTTAGTTTTTCACCTTTTTCTGTTATGTATGATATCATGCGTTTGTCGATTCGTGTGCTGAAAGTGATTGTTCATCCCTTCTAGTCTGAAAGTGTGATGCTAGTTCGTGTGAGTATCATATGATCTTGCAAGTCAAAAACTGAAGTATTCCTGATGAGGTTTTCAAATCAAAGCCATTTGTGAGCGAAATGACCGATTCAGAGCTACATCAAGTTGTCACATCTGGTTTTGCGACGATTGCCGGCTCCGTTCTTGTAGCTTACGTGTCATTAGGGATGCCAGCAGTATATCTTATCAGTGGTATGTGTATTGATTTCATGGCTCTTTTGACAATACTGATCCAAAACGAGTTCTCAGCATCAATCATGAGTATTCCAGCATCTCTGGCTATCAGCAAGCTCAGGTTTCCAGAAACAGGTTCACCATTAACAGCTGGAACAATAACAATACCGGAATCAAAGCAACATGATCTTAATGCTCTTCACGCCTTCTCAAATGGAGCCTGGTTCGGTCTCAGGGTTGCTGGCATGATGTAAGCATATTATAGAAAATGTATCGTCACTCTCAAGAGAATTTGTACTGATCAGTGTTTCTTTCCAACGACAGCCTCGCGAACGTCTTATCTGTACTTGCGTTGGTGTATACCATCGATGGTCTTCTTACTTGGATAGGACAGTTTTGGTCTCTTGATCCTCAAGGTCCTCATCCCCTGACCCTTGAGCTTATATTCCAATACCTATTTTATCCTATCGCAGTCAGTCATCCTCTACTCTTAAACATACCTCTATTCTTTCTTTGCTCTATGATCTGACCAATTTATCGAGACACCTATCTTCCAGTGGCTTATGGGTACCCCTTCATCTGACGTGATGAAAGTATCTAGATTACTTGGTCTCAAATTGGTTGCTAATGAGTTTGTAGCTTGTAAGTCATTATCATTGTTGTTCGAATTTGAAGATGAGACTGATATCACAATAAAAATCATGTAGATCAAGCTTTATCAAAATTACAACCTGAAATGACCACACGTGGATTCACAATTGCGACTTACAGCCTGTGTGGTTTTGCTAATCTAAGTGGCCTTGGAATTCAAGTTAAGTACATTCCATTTTTTCAATCATCACATCGATTGAAACATTTAATTGAGGAACAAAGCAACTCATCAAATTGGTAAAAGATTGGAGTCTTGAGTTCTTTAGCACCACAGCGACAAGCTGATATTGGGAAGATAGTCTTATCAGCTTTGATTTGTGGATTTTTTTCTACTATTCAAACTGCCGGTCAGTTTTTCTCGAATTTCATAACCTTTACGCATGAAAGTATCAAGATCACTAATTAATATTCTTTTGGGTCTCTTTTGTGTGGAGTAGCCATTGCTGGTATGCTAGTATAGTTTAGGTCTTTGCTGTTTGATGTTGTATATTTAAAATCTCTTGTGTGTAAAACCAAATCTCTGGCTAGAGGATTGGACTGCAAATCGGGATTGTCTCGAACCGAGTATGTAAGTATATATTTTATAAACAGACAAAAGAAACAAAAGATCAGGTAAAGGAGGGTACTCAAAGAGTCAGAGTGGAATGAGAGATTAGGAGAGTCACACTGGATATATGTTTCTATGTACGTCATCTCAGAATGAGCCCTGACTCCATTGTAACGGAGTCAGGCTGGGGAACCAGATGGCTGATTGTTTCTCGGAGAGCGGAGCCACCACAGGTCATTATGAGCAAGTCTGATGATTGAGTCAACAAATAGGGAAATCCAATTGAGGACTTTATTTTTTCAAGGAGATTGACCAATAAGTTGACTGCAAGCTCCTGTTTGGAAAACTACGGCATCTACTTCTCATTCTGGGATCCCCTTATTTGTATTCTAGCAGAAAAAGCTCAAGATACAAAGTAGATTCTCCCAATGATTCAGGCTCCCAACAATTGTCTGGGGTGTTCACCTTCCTCTCAAACCTCTGCGATCACACTGCTATTCACGAATGTTTTTCAATATAGATCGTTTGAATGATTGTGTTTGAATTTCTCCCCTTGAAGCTGTCTGTTTTGTTCCATCAGAGGCTCGACCTTGCTCAAAAGATATACACAGATATAGTACAATATTGTTGAAGAAACGAACCATAAAGATTCAGAATACAAATTGATTTGGATTGTTGCTTTTAGCTATCAAGATGCTGATAAAGACAGTAATGTCACTTTGATTTGCTTCATTGATCAATGGTGTAGTTCTAATTGTTTCAGAAACGAAAAAGATTCATTAGATTGATATTGTTTTGATTTTTTGTGGGTCTTGATGCAAAATGTAAGTCAAAAAGAGAACTTACTGTGAATGAGTGTAACTGGTGAATCAAGGAATGTGTTACCGAAGGAGTCGGTGGTCACACGTGGAAGATCTTGAGTGAGTGATGCAGGTAACATAACTTGGTTGGGGTTAGCTCCATCCGGTTTTGCAGGTAGTGCAAGTGATCCCGAGATCTTGTTTCGAATGACATTAGTGATATTGAAGATCTCAACATCACGTGAATAGTCGCCTCCTTTATTTTTGAATGTATATTGTTGTGAAGTTCTACCGATACCACTGATCGCTTGACCTTTACCATCGAAGTGTAAGTTACCTTCTGAATTTTGAGTATTTACAATATCAGACTTGGATCCAGCGGGATAAATATGATCCTCTGTACGAGTGTAACCATGTGAAAGTTGTCCTGAGAAGATACTTAGGTTTGCACTTGGTGCAGTTTGAATCATGGTGAGGTTCATAGGGTACGAAAATTTATCTTGAAGAAGCGGGACTCCATTATGTACGGATTGAGATAAACCTTCGGAGGATTGAATCATATTCTGATCAATAGAAAAAAAGCAAAAGGATCATAGTGAATAGATTTCGAGAAAAGTTCATCTTTAGCACTCAAAACTGTCTTCATTTTTTCTCGTAGTAAAGATCAAATCGAACATACCGAATAATCTCCACTCGCCGTTATGATTTGAGTATTAGAAAATTTGAAATCTTGCGTGACTGTTACTGATTGTTTACCCTTAGTGCCAGTGATGACGGTAGCTTTCAGGCTAAGTTGACGAGAAGCTTCGGTTTTGAAGTTTATTCTTCCTTGAGCATCATCGGGAAGTGGGGTAGATTTTTGGTATGGTTTAGTAACGACACTGTCGAGTGTTCCGGTGGTTCGAGTTCCACTAGGATCGAGAGTGATACCAACAGATCCACTTAGGACCCATGAAGGTTTACTCAATCCTGGCTCTTGTCCTCCAATCATGATAGTAAAGTTGTGATTCTTATCATCAGTCAAGAGCGGTACAAAGGGGGTGATGTCCAGGGTATAAGAAGGCGCATTTGAAGCTCCAATCGCGGCAATCGGTCTTTCAAAGATCAAAAATCATCAGTTTTTGATCATTTTAGATAATTCGATCAAACTCACCTCCACCAAGTGAGTAAGATTCCACCAGTGTAAATCACTGGAAACGGGTAGACAACACCAGCCAATTGACCATCTTATAGAATTATAGTGAGAGTGATCACTAAGCCAGTTTGAAAATCTTTAGGTAGAAAAGAGTAACTTGGAACAAACCAATCAGAAGCTGAACTTCTCGATATGGACCACCTCCACGGTAAGATCCTGTATTCTTTGGGTCAAGACGAGGCAGGAGTTTGTCGGGTACATTGGTATACTGTAACTCCAAAATTTTCAGCAAAGGTACCTTTCTCTAGTGTATCAAGATTGCGCAAACTAACCCAGAACTTATGAAAACAAACCAATTCATTGATTAGTGATGATGAGTTTTTGTGAAAATCGAATTGTAAGTGAAGCACTAACCTCTTCTTGCTGACTCCCACTGGCAAAGATTTCCACAAAGGCGGTAGCTGTGTTCTGTTCCAGAATACAAGTCAGGTAATCCAACGATTAAATGGATCAAGTTGAATTATCAATTACCTTTGGCAACGTGAGCGGTTTCTCAATCTTAGACCCTTCATCATAACCCAATGGAACAATCTGACCCAACTGTGCCACTGCAGGGAAGGCGGTAGTCGGCGCGTAAAAGCGGGCTGATAAAGTGACCTCAAATTGACCAGTCAAATTTTCAGTTGGATAAACGGTGTTGTTGAGACTGAGGGTAAGTGGATTGGGTTTAGACAAGAGTGGCATGTATCTTGTCACATCACGATCACTATGATATATAGATCCATATGACTCAGGTTAACGAAAATGGAGAAGGGACTTTATATATTTTATAAATCAAGTTTGACTCACACAGTCCAAATAATACCTCTCTTGATGGGCTCAGCTAATAAAAATCAAAAATTCGACCCGGATTCAACTCGAGTAAACTTTAGACAATCATCGAAGAGAAAGCTTAATTGAAGAGTAACACTCACGGGTCGAAGTTCGCCATACTATCACATTAGAAAAGAGATTAGTTTCAAAATAAGACTTGAGCAGAACACAAAACAAACTGACTTTCAACATTATTAAGAAATAGTTGCTATTTGAATTTACGAATGATCCAGACCAAGATCCCAAAATTCAGCGGATAAAAGAGATTTGTTGGTTGAGATTTATCAATCAGAAAATAACTCACCGCTAATCTATCATATTGCCTCCCTTGGGAAGCTATCAAAGTGGTGATGTTAAGCCATGATGCTGCATTCAAAAGTAAGAAATCTTAATTGACTTACTGGCTGTCAAGGTAAATACGACTGATGCCCAACTGCCTACTGGTCCGCAATTGGTAGGTGGTACAAAGTTGACGGTCGCTGGGTGACCATAAGAGCTGACAAAAGTCTATCAAAAAGTTCTCAAGCTCGGTAAGAGATCTGTTGTTTTGAGGTAAGAAGTATGTAAGAATTCAAAGAACCTACATGTTCAATGAGTTTTACATCGCAAAACTTGCCATCCTTGGGTACAACCGGTGGCTAGAAGGGACAAGTTTTTGGACGAGGATGTCAAAGGAAATCAAATCAAGATAAGATAAAACTTCATAACATGGAGTTTTGCAAGGTGCCTTCAAGAATCGGATAAACTTACCGCCATAACTTCAAAATTCACCAACGCATCTGGGCGGTGTTGAACCTGACGAGAGTTCAAGTGAGGAGATGGTACCACTTCACCGATGAAGAAGTAAACAGCCAAAAAAAGTTTAAAAAGGGTATTGCAAGTCATGATGAATAAACGATGTGTAAGAATGAAAAACTGATGAGCTTCGTAAGCTCTGAGAAAAAATTGAAAGTCGTTGAATCCAATGCCCAGGTTCGACAATCAAATCAAACAAATAGAAGAAATTGTAAAAATGTGCTCGGAACGAAAACAAGACGCCGCCGAAGTTTCTGAACCCTGTGGTCGTCAGCCAGGGTCATAGCTATGACAGCGATACCTCTTGTGTCTTCAGCAATTCAGCCACTGTTCATTCAATATAAATTTTCCTTATTTTTATTGTAGTCACTCTTATGGCACTAAAAAACATAGGGAGGCGCACGGCCGGGTCTGACCATCTCTTGGGCTCCCCGTAGCTCCCTGTTCAAATATTGCTCCCCTCCCCAACCAAAAGCCTCTGGCGTACGGCTTCAGGATAGCCTAATAGGCCTTTCACAGATGGTGCTATGGCCCGAGCGCTTCCATGGTGGAGCCCACAGGGAAGTCCGATAAGGATGACTAAGCTTATGTTGATAGGGAAAAGCTTCATTTATTTCGCCCGCCATGATCCAGGTAAAGTGAAGAGGAATTCGAGAGTCGAGACAGGGTTTCCTGTTGTAGACAATCGGTTCGCTCAACAGATCCGCCTGTACCCTTTGGAGGGTCACCGTCGAAAGTCTTGCCAGATTTCAAATGACAAAACTGATACATCGCCATGCCTTCATGCCTTCGACCCTGTTTTCGTTTGGATCGCAATACGGGTTCGCTCATGTGGTCAGATTCCAGTGCCACGCCAGACATCGACGTTCGGCAACTATTGAACCTCACTTCTCCTTTGTCCCATTTTTTGGTGTCGTGTTGTACGTATCAGAATATGTAGCACGAAATGATTGGCCAATGGCAGTGCAACAAGATGAACGGAATCTCCCTAACACGGTGACATATGCAAGGATCCTCTTAGGGCTGTTGCCCTCAACGCGCAACTGAAAAGATCGTGAACGATCCCATGGGCTCCCAAATTCTAGCTATTATCGAACCATGATGCATCGAGCTACAAGGAGATGGCATGTATGCGGGCGGGAAGTCGAAGCTCTCGATCGAAGTCACTACGGAAGTGTAAAGTGATTCAAACTGCGATGTTGCACCTCTTCAAGATGAATGAACAGTCTGTAGTTTATCTTTTCAATCAAGATCCTAATGAGTGCTCATGAGTGTCATGATGACCTGGTTTATAAAGTTGAGGTAGACCCTGAGCAACATATGAGTGGTATTTGAAGTATATGTATAGTGAAGTAACGATTGATAAGGAGCGTGAGTTTTGAAGTGAGTCTAGTTTAAATCCAAACTTTAATTTCTCATTACCATTTATAAAACTTTCCCTTTCCCTTTCCATTTCCATTTTCATTCGTTAATCCTAGTCAATCCATCAAACTTCACTTGATAACTTCAGCCTATCAAACTTCAACTATAACATCAGCGAACCAACCAACTGGAAATGTCTACTTCTACCGTTCCATCAAAGTGAGTATCATCAGTCATGTAAACTTATCTCTTAATCATTCGAAGCTAACTTGATTGTCATTTCCTTTTCTTCACTTCAACCAGCACTCTTCCCATTCTAGCACCTATCAAACCTCGCATTTTATCATCCGCATCAACTATTAGCGATTCGGTTTTATCTTGTATAGGTGGAACTCCATTAGTACGACTCGATCGATTCGCGTCTGCTCATGGTTTAAAATGTAATCTTCTTGGTAAACTAGAGTATTTCAATGCGGGTGGATCAGTCAAAGACAGAATCGCATTACGAATGATAATAGAAGCAGAAGCAGAAGGCAAACTAATTCCAGGACACAGTGTAATGTAATTAAACAACAAAATCCTAAACGATTCTTTTTTTCCCAACAAACACTGAAATGAATTCCAATCTTTTTATACTCTTTTGTTTAGTATTGAACCTACAAGTGGTAACACAGGTATTGGTTTAGCATTAGGAGCCGCTGTAAAAGGGTATAAATGTATAATTGTTTTACCAGAGAAAATGAGTCGAGAAAAAATCAATACGATGAAAGCTTTAGGAGCTACAATTGTTCGTACACCTACTGAAGCTGCTTCTGATAGTCCTGAAAGTCATATCTCAGTAGCTGCTAGACTTGAGAAATCGATTCCCGGTGGGATCATTTTGGATCAATACACAAATCGATTTAGTTAGTCAATCTTCTCTTTACTTCTTTGAGATTTAGGGATCGCAATCCTGACTTTTTGGTTTTGGATCATTGTTGTTTAGATCCATTGGCACATTATGATACAACTGCAGTGGAAATCATTGAAGCTATCTCAAACACGCCTACACTTGAAGGACGTCAGTCAAGTGGAAAAGTAGATTTATTAATCGCAGGAGCAGGAACAGGCGGAACCTTAGCAGGTGTTAGTCGAAAGCTCAAAGACCATTATGGATCAGAATCAGTTCATACAATTGGTGTGGATCCAGTTGGTTCAATCTTAGCTAGACCTGAAAGTTTGAATGTAGGGGGGATTGCAACTTATAAAACAGAAGGTACTGGTTATGATTTTATACCCGACACATTAAATTATGAAGTCATAGATCAATGGATGAAAACTAAAGATGAAGAGGCCTTTAGTTCAGTTAGAGAATTGATCAGAGTGGAGGGAATCTTATGTGGTGGGTCTAGTGGTCAAACTGTTGCAGCTGCATTACGGTATCTATCTCCTGGTGGAGAAGGTTGGGAATCTTATGGAAAGGTAGAGAATAAGAACGTCGTCTTGATCTTTGCTGATTCTATTAGGAATTATATTACGAAAGATTGGTTGATTGAAGGAACTGATGCTTCTGAAACCACTGAAGCTGATCTCGTAGCCAATCTTGCGTCTTCGGATTCAACTTGAAAGATTTGATCATGGAAACTGATCGACGTGATCAAAGTACAACAAGCTTGTCATCCTATAATTTTTCTTTGTCTTTCATTTATATGTTTCTGTTCTATTTCTCATCCATTGTAACTTGTTTCATCTCTTGATCTCTTTATATTTGTTGTTCCGATTATTAAAGCATCTTGATAAATTGATTGTATATATATATCTATACTTCTCGAATAATTCTCAAAGTCAAATTTCATCTGTTTGTAACAAGTTGAAGTTGGAAAGGAATAGATATGGTGTTTAATTCGATTTCACAATAGTGAAAATTAAACACTAGAGTATTTTGGGAGTGCATATACTTGGTATGCATGAGGAAATGAGGAAACCAGGTTCAACTACCAACAACAAAGATACTGTGGACTCAAGAATGCAAGGCGTGCTTGGATGAAGAATACTATTCAATGTTTTTTTAATGTGAAAAGGATGTTGCATCCAATCCTGAGTCCTTGGTGACTGTGTTCAAGGTAATCATGTGAGGGGAGCTTGGATTTTTTTAATCATTTTTGATACTCAAAACTATTAGGTTCAAGCAACCTTTCACATTTTTGTAAAAAAATATTCAGACAATCCCACTTTCAAATATAAAAAGCTTGGATCTATTTTTTCAATACATTTTTTTTTGAAAAAAAGGTTACTTAAACCTCATAGTTATAAATACCATAATTTGGGTTGGTAGTGAAATGAATATCATCCAAAAACCACGGTGGATGATATTTGTACCCCCTGACAATGCTGATTCCAATGCCAAGCTAGATCTTCACATTGTTGTTGCAAGGGCCAAGGAGGAGGATGAGCCAGCTCCAGATCTAAATGAAGATACAATTAGGATTCTGCTGATGCAGCAGATGCGACTGATCCTGGTCTTTGAGCTGAAGCTGAAACAGTTCAACCTACTCATTGCCATGAGTCAACTTCAAACAAACCGGATGCCCTTTTGGAGAAGTTAAATGACCTTTCAATTTGTTTTTGCATGGTCTTCATTGTAAGTAGTTATTATTTTTGAACTACTCTTCATTTTTATAAATTAATTTCTTTCTTGGTTGTATCACACAATCTGCAGGATGGTGCAAGGAATACAATCAAATCATGAAGAGTATGGGAATTGAACTTCAGTGATTGATTTCTGTGTATGAATCTGCTGGAACATAAAGTAAATTGGCTGGGAAAACACATGGAAGGTTCAAGAAGTAAGTTTTTGTGTCACATATCATTCTTGTTGGTATTCTCTGGCTCTACAAGTGCTCACACCCACTTCTTCAGCCCATTGATCAATCATCAGTGTCTTAAGGATGATCTTGCCTAATTACATACCAAGAATTCTTGGCAGGGTCAAAATGGAAAACTCAATGGTTACTTTCACAAGCTAACAATCATGCTCACAGAGTGTGCTCAAGTAAGGACTTGCAATAAAGAGCTCATGGTATATGTTTGTAAACTTAATGATATCAACAGAGGTGAATTCACACCTGGCTGATATTTTGAATTTTATCCATCTTCCTATCATTGCTATTCCCGGAGGCTACCAAGTAAATGGAGAGCAGGAAAGCCACAGGCTCTATAGTAATTCCCAAGTACATTAAATTACGCAAGACATTCTAGGATCAAGCCAATACACTTGACCACACCAATTCTCTTTACCCGATGATGGCATCTGTTATGAGCCTAATAGCGGGTGATGCTTATACTGTAGCTCACCCAACTCATATCTATTAGACTCGAAAGCCCACTTGTACATTTGCTTCTTCACGTTGCAATCCTGTTATTAAGCAACTCATCCCTTTGCTCTTATCCACTAAGCTTGGTCCTAACATTTTGCAACGTCTCAATTAGGATAACGGCAAAGCACTCGAAGTCAAGTATTAAAAGAAAGCAGAAGTCTACGCAAGCTCAAGAAGTTGAAAGATCTAATCAAGAAAGTTAAAATTTATCAAGATTCACATTACAGTCAAACCCCTCTAAATCCATACCTCTCGGTGGAAAGGAAAATGTATGGCTACAGAGGGGTTATGTCTTTGTTGGGGAACCCCTCTGTAGCCATACAATCATGGCTATACACGTAATCCCCTCTAAAGACATGGAAAACATGGCTGTAGAGGGTATCAAAGTGCAGCCATACATATAAAACCCTCTGAAGACATAGAAATCATGTTTGTAGAGGGGTTTTTATGTATATGGCTTGGGCTCTCAGTTGATCTTGCTGAAAAAAATTGAATTTTCTATCAAAGTTTTCAGTAATTGATGTGTTGAGTATCTTATGAGAAGAAAATATTTGATTTTGTAAGTACATCACAAAAGTTTAGTTTCTACTAAAGAAAGAAGTGATGGAGGGCTGAAACTTGTTAGCAAAAAGGGTCTGACTGGTCAATGCGCTTTCAAGAGGAGGAAGAAAGGGGTCAATAGCTGTGCCTTCAGGAAGATCAGAACTTTCAATGAATTGGATGAGTAAAGAAACCGCCTTCAAAGCTTCAGAAGCTGTTGGAGGTATCACTGGGTCAACCACCTCCATCTGAGCAGCCTCGATTTCTAATTGAGTCTGCACCTCAAACCATTCCTCGGCTGTTGCTGAAATAGGTTGAGGATTCTCATCTTCCGGGTTCAAAAGCTCAGAAATTGACATTCTGTTAGCTGAACCAACAATTCCTGCATCCTTGAGTGCTTGAAGGCTGGCCTCAAGATTAACATTTGGAATAAGTGCTTGAAGAGTCACATCTGCATCAGTGCTATGTATAAAATACAAATACCAGTTAGATTTTATTCCCAATGAAAAAAGAAAAAGAAAATTTTTTACATACATCTGTTCGATTCCATCTCCAAAATCGACAATTCCTGTATGACGCCAACAATTCTTGATGCTTGTTGAACTGACCAAAGACCATGCAAGCTTTGCCATTCGCATGGCAGTTAAGATATTGATGGTGTGAAGCTTAGACATCTCGACATGGGCCTTGAATCTTTGTAGTGAACGGGAAAGGAATTGTTGTCAGTATTGAGCTTTGAAAGCATTGATGATACCGGCATCCAAAGGCTGGACATGTGCAGTGAGATTGGGCTTGAAGAATTCCATTCGGATGTTCTTCAGAAAACCATCAGGCACTGAATGACCGGAGAAGTTGTCAATAAGTAGAAGGATCCGACGCCCTTGATTTCCGAGTTGATGATCTCAAGATCCAATCCATTGTTGGAAGATCCTGGTGTCCATCCACGCATTCTTGCTTACATAGTATTTGATCTTTAAAGCTTGAGGCGTGAGTTTATTGAAGCAGTGGGGACTTTTGTATTGACCAATGAAGCAGACCGGAGTTCCAAGGCAATCGGAGCCATCAGCATTACAAGTCAAGAAAACTGTAATGTGATCTTTAGATGCTTTGACCCCATGACCTCCTTGTTGGGCAAGGCCTTGGTCAGGAGGTAGTCTGAAAGATATCAAAAATAAATTAGTAAATGATAATGTATATGTACAAGAAATGAAAAGTACTTATGCATAACATAGACCAGTTTTGTCCATGTTGTATATATCAGCTGGCTTGTAGCCAGCAGTGATCGCACGCACACATTCAACTTCAGTTTTGACTTTTTCCTGAGATGCTGAAGCAGCTTCTCCGTGCTTTTTGTATTCGTGCAGGTTGTTTTGCTTCTTGAAACAGTCCAACCAACCACCACTAAGACTCAGCCAGGAACCACTTGGTATACCTTGAAGTCGAGCAAATTCACGCCACTGTTCCTTGATCTTGTCACCAGATAAGAGAAGGCCATTTTGGTTTGCATTCTGAATGTATGTAACAAGGAGCTTATCGACTTTGGGAAAGGTGACTTCTTTCGTTCTCTTGAAGTTTCCTCCTGACTTTGTAAATTTCACACAAATTGCAATCTCTTTTTTGATCCAAGAACTGACGAGAGGTTGAGTGAGGTTGAGGTGCGGATAGAGTGACTCAAAATGTCTTGCAGTTTTTGATTGGTTCTTTCCATTAGCATGATACCAGTCCAACACATAAATTTTCTCATTGAATGTCGCAGAACATTGTTTGTCAGGTTTCTTGGGAGCTGAAAGTTTTTGAAGGGTTTTGCTGCTGGACAAAGTAGGCTGAACAAGGCGTTTTTTTTTGTCTTTTTTGAATCTTTAAAATCTTGAATCGCTTTTGCTTTCTTGGTTAAAGTGGTGAATGCTTTAAAATCAGATTGGTCAAGCTTTGAGGGCTTGTCCTCTTCCATCTTCAAGATCATATCAATCAGGACTTGCTCGGTAATTAAGTTTCCACCTTCATCCATCCATTCCAAGTTGGATGGTGATACTGACTCTCCGGCTTCAATCTTTTTACTGACTTCTTTAGTTTTTTCTAGAATCTCGTCCTTGATGTTCAAAGCCGCTTCAAGCCGGTCCAGAAGATACTCTTCCGTGGTGATATCGTTTGGAAATTTCGAGGGCAAGCAGGAAGACACAGCAACATAGACACGATTACCAATTCGGGTGATGTAAGGTGGATTAGCTGGATTGAACACTATGGGCTCTATGCCATAGTGCTCTGGTGGTGGTGATTGGTCTTGATCCGCCATTGTAGGTATCAAATGGTATCACCTAGGAGCAAAGATGTGCAAAGGTAGGCAAAGATTCTCAGCCCTCCTGCCTCGGCACTGACCCTTTTTTCTATGGCTTTACGCTGAAAAGATGTTTTTTTTTGAAATCTGGGTATGGCTTACTGCGTTAGGCGGAACTATGGCTTTTTTGGAATTTTTGGCCCCGCCCAACTTGGGAGAAGCCAAAAACCATGGCTACAGGCGGTTTATCACTTTACACGGGTAGGGCTTTAGAGGGGTTTGACTGTAGTGGATCCAGACATTCAAGTTCACTGCAAAAAGACCCTTGGTTGAAGCATCTGAGTACTACATGTGGAACTAATTGAAGTCAAAATATTGGCTTGCATTTGTAATGTGTATCGGTTGGACATGATGTCAAAGACATGAAACTCTTGGATTTACTTGCAAGATGTTTCAAGTATTACTACAGTATTTATTCTTGTCATGACCCCACAAACTTAATAAGTACCAGACTGAGATGACCAGACTCATCAAATTCAAGAACCTGCAAAAACCCCTTCTGACCAGAAGAAAAAATCCCAAGCCAATCCAACTCTCAAACTCTTGTAATCAAAATATAATACATTTCTTATCAAAACCTTTAAGCATATTTGAAAAAAAAAATCCCAAACCAAAAAAGGAAGATATATCATCAACCATCAAACCAAATGCAAAAAAAAAATCACGCACACAAAAAAACAAACCAAAAAGAATTGGAAGAGCTCTTCTTTATAAGCCATTTCAATAAATCGATCAAAGAAAATAATTCATTATTATGATTGTAAAAAAATAATGGTAAGATAAGATAAATTCTAGAAGAAAAGAAAAGAAAGGAAGGAAAGAAAGAAATGCAAAAATATAAAAAAAAACATCAAAGACTAGATGATAAAAAAATGCAAAATACAAAGCAAAAAGCAAAGAATGTAATAAAAAAAACCGTTCAAGCCAAACAAAAAAAAAAGAAACCCAATGCAAATGAAGGAAATGAAGAATAAACGTCTCTCTAGAAGATCCCATTCCTCAATTCCAAATTCCTCCTTTAAAAGTCAAAAATAGAGTTTGTTTCAATTTACTCTTCTACATCAACCAATTCAAATGCAATCGTCACAAAGATTTCTTCTTCATTCCCACCTTCAGAAATCCTAGTAGATCTTAAAGTATATCTAATCGGCATATCACCAAAGATTTTAGCTACATTCATCTTAACTGGCCCGATTGCTAAATCAAATGTATTAAAATTCATAAAAGGTGAAAAGAATGAAGTTGCATAAACCCTAAAAAAATTAACAAAAGGTCAGTCAAAAGGTGAGGGGTAGATTGAAAGAAAAGTAAAAAAAGTGACTCAAAACACATCAGGATCGTAGATAAACTCTTTACGATGTTTTCCATATGATTCAGAAAAATACTTGCGTCGTTTTTGAACATCTACACTTTTATTCAAGAATACAAATGTATTATCCTAAAGAGAACAATCAAAAATAAAAAAAACATCATCAAAATCAAATTATTTCAAGATAACAAAAGTCTTTGCAATCATCAAAGAATGAAAGAAAAAAAGCTCATACCTCTAAAATATCAGTCGTAGGATTTCTAAATCTCCAAGGTCCTAATTGACTATGAACCTGATCTTGAAATGGATCATCATCTAATACAAAATTCAGCATATCACCAAACATTAAATCACCTTTCTCTACATCCTTTAGAGCAGGTGCCGCATCAATTTGTTTTTGAGTGGGTCCTTCTCTTTCAGTAGCTTCTCCTACTCCTCTATTTGTGTTTTGCGAGCTAGTTTCAGATAAAACTGATTCACTTTCACTACTTGAAGATCCGACTTTTTCCATCGGCTTAGGTACAGTTAGGTGTTGTTCATATGATCCAGTGGGTCTCATACTGATTGATTTCAGTTCAGGTGTTCGATTCGCGTCTGTTTCTACTCCTTCTTCTGCTGATGAGACTGATTTAAGGACAGTAGAGTTTGACGAATATGAACTGCTTCGTTCTTCCTGTGGTTGTACCTGTCGAGCTGGCGAAGGATGTTCACTAAAAGATGTAGAAGTAGATGAAGTATCATCAGAATGATGAAAAGTCGAAGGCGATGAAACTCTTGGTTCTCCTTCGATCACTTGTTCACTTTTCTCCAACACATCTGGATCAGTGATGATCGTAGGAGAGATGAATAAGGTTTGAGGTCGTTCTCGGATTTTGACACTTTCGAGTTGTGTATTCCTTCCATTATCAAAAGAGGTACTTCTAATGCGATTATTGTTCGAGGTCTCGATCGGTTCAGTTTCGGGTTGAGATTGAAGTGGCCGAGCAAGTACAGTTGAACTTCGATCGGCAGTTACCTTTTGAGGGGGACTAGGTGAAGGTTCATTGGTGTTAGTGGATGAGGAAGGATCACGCCGTCTTCTTGTGAATGGCAATGTGCGGGATGCAGCTCGAGTGACGGTGACTGTGTTAGATTTGCTTTTGCTAGTTGATTTTGAATGATGTAATACAGTTGTAAACTTATTATGACAATTAGTAGGAGGGCTACTGGAAGATGATCCCCCTAAACTAGAAGATGACGTCGAGGAAGATAATCCGGCAGGAGTAAGTTTTTGAAACGCAGTCTTGAGTTTCTTCAATCGACTCTTAACTTTGTGCAACTTTTTCTCCTCACTATCGTGTAATTGGTGACTCTCTAATCTAGGTGGCATAGGAGGACACATCACCACATCTTCTTCACCTAAAGTATCCATCACTTGCTGTGCTCGTGCTTCACCTTCTCTTTCTGTAGCTTCAGTTTCTGCATCTTGATATAAATCTCGCATACCAGCTCCGAAACTAATTTGATGACGTGGGAAGATCCTAGGCGAGAATCGATAAGAGGAAGCTGAACTCATTGGAGGTCGTCCTTCCAAAGCAGTTGAATAAGTCGCATGTGATGATGGTGCACGACACGAGAGTGCATCATCATCATCATCCTCGTTGTATTCTTCATGTTCGCTAAGTTTTCGAGAATGTTGTGAAACTGAAAGAGGTTCTTGAACCGGACGTTCTGCTAAAAGTTCTTTATTCTTCTCTAAAAATGCATCAATCCTATCACCATCTCCTTTAAGTCCAATAAATCTCCAATAACGTTTAGTATGACGACCAATCTTTTTACTTCCAGCTGCTTTACCTATATCAGCTCGATCGACTTGTTCCATTGGTACCATATCATCCCCATCATCCAGATCTTGATCTTCATCACCACGATTGGATTGACGTAAGCAAACGAGTGCATCACTCATTCTAGAAGGTGAAGGCCAAGCACAAAGTGTGTTCATACAAGCTAGATAAGGACTCATGATAAATGGTCGACCACTACTTGGACTAAGATCGTAGAACGTATTGGGATCGATCCAACGTGCTACTCTCATTCCAGCGTTAAAGGCACTCTTTGGAAATTCAACCAAGTGATCAAAGTCACTGTTACAATGAAAGTAAATAAAACAGATTGGATGAAGAGATAAGATTGAAGGTAAGCATTATTATTAGGAAAGAAGCGGAAGAAGATAAGATCCAAGAGTAGAATTAAAAGAACAGATAGGAATCAAAAAAGATAGAAAGCTTACCTTCCAAAATGAACTTCTTCACCACTATAGAGCGGAACTCCTTCACGACGTTTAAATCTACCTTCGATTTGAATATCAAATTTACGAGATCTTCCATCAAAATAAACATGATCATGAATTGGGTTTGAACCATCTGGAGTGATCCCATCAAAATCTTTAATCTTCACTAATACTCTACCAACAAATATATCTGAATCGATGATTGTCGGTTTAGTTGAATCGTTGACATGAGCTATCTGAAGTGTATCTCGGGATGAACCAATACTGATTCTTAGTTTTTTGTTCATTTGATGATGGTGTTCACTGAGGTCGATGGGTTGAGGGCTGGATGGATTGATGGTGATGGTCAGGATGGTAAAGAAGGTCAACAGAGGTCAAGAGAGAGGTGTGTGTTTAATGATCTGAGTCAGAAATCGAATGGCTGTAATCAATTTAAACCCAAAACTGTATTTGACCAAATTTAGAATCAGTCTAAGCTTAATTTAATTTATTTATCAATTCTCTCATCCTGATCCAACAAGCAAACAAATCCAAACTCACTAAAATAAAATAAAATCATCAACTTCTTTTCTAAGGACAACTCTCCGGTAATCCGAACCCAACCTTCAATTCTTGACTTCTTTTAACTTTTAAATACAAATCCACCAAAAAAACTCTCATGCAAGCCCATGCACCTCCAGGCACCTCCATGCACAACCGGCTTAAATCGTATTCTTTTCTTTTGACATACACAGGGAATTAAAAACTTGTTTTAGTTTATCTGTGATTCGACATTCGACATAATCACGAGAGCTAGGAAATTTTGTATTACAGATCATGTCAAATCAATTGATACCATCTTTGGCTAGGCCATAACAATCCTCACACGACCTCGGATTAAATTGCCACCTTGTGTGACAGTTTAATCCTTTATGTACATATCATTTATGTACCCAAGCAGTCAGGTACATATTCTGGTATTATTTAGCAGTACATTTGTATCCAACTTCTTTTAAACCTAGGATCTTGGTTTTGTTTTTGGCGGGGAAAATGCCCAAAACTTTGTGGCTTTCAGGACCCCTGTGCTTACCTGGTGCTTACTTATCCTGTTGGTATCTCCTTTTCCTCATATCTCACATCAACTATCAAGTTGTGTGACCAAACACTCACCAACATCACACTCATGTGGCGCTGGTTTGAGCTTTGAGATGATCCTGGGTGGAACCTGATCACCAGATGGGTGGTTGTTCAGGTTTGCCACAAAGTAGGTAACTGGAGGCAAGGACCAAGAAAGCTCACTTTTTCTGGTTGGGGCCTAGTGTTTGAAAACAAAGAAGTCAGATTCTACCTTCTCACTTTGAGTGCTGTAATTGGTCTTAAACTGCTTGAGTTGAATGTCCATACCCTTCTGTCAAACGCTCAACTAGGAGTTTATTACCCTTTATGTTGGCACTGACTAGTACTTACCTTGAAAAAAGCCCAAGATCACTCAGATGTTGCTTGGGACAGGCTGTAGCCTTAAGCCAACATTAAAGGGATATTGCCATTTATGTGCTTCACAGAAGGAGTAAGGTTACTAACTCACACCTCCTCAAAGTCTAGCACCTATATAGAATAGCCTACATGTCCAGGCTTCAAGTTTGTTTTGTAAAGTACATGTCTGTATTGCAAAAATGATCATACTGCTAGAGTTTCAGGTCATAAAAAAACAACTAGACCAGAATTTAAACCTGGTACCTCAGTATTTACAAGCTGAGAGACATGTCAGAGTACTGCATTTACCACTGTCACTATCTTTTAAAACCTTTTTGAAACATCCTTGAAGTTGAACTTTTACACTGAGTAAATTGCACTACATATTGAATGTCTTGATGGTTTCCTGGTATCTGGAGCTGAAATCAAGCAATAATATTCAGAAAACCAACAAAGTTTGACCTAGTTAAAGAAACATATCTACTCAGGCTTTCATATTGATGCTCAAAGACAATAACGGTACTCAAAGTTGTGTATACTTTGCCATGCATAGTTTTTTTGTGTTGTTTGCAACTACAAACAACTTGGAAACAGTATGTTTCTTGATTGAAGCTCAAAGATATGTACTTTTAAGCCAAAAACATAGTTTTCCCTGGTTGTGTGAAGTTGCGAAAAAAGAAAAGAAAACTATGCACAGCAAAGTATACACAACTTTGAGTACCGTAAATATCTATAGTCTAGAAAACACTCCAGTGAAATTGTTTATTATATCAATGTCACCTGGGAAAGTGCTTCTCTTCTCCTCTAGTATCTTTTCTTTGTAAAACTATCAAGTTCCTAGATATCAAATCAAGTTTTTTGGTCCTAACAGACTCAGCAGAAATAGTGACATCCCACGAGTCTGTTTGAGCATTATCAAAGGGTGTTGATGGTAAGTGCGGGAATGTTGCCCCGTAGTTGGTTATTTTGTTGAATTCTCTGCATTGACAATTTCATAGAGGGATTTTCTAGTTTTGAGATTCTTGTGACATCTTCAATTTTAAGGTTTTATATCATGGAGTTTTGTTTCTCAAATTTGCTTCTTCTATGTTTCAAGAATACTTTCAAACCTTCTTCACCCTACAAATTGGTTGTCTAAATATGATCTGATCAACGGCATCCTAAGCCTGTGGTTTTTGTTTGTATAGGATCTTTTGGGTCCTTGCACTGTTGCCAGTTTGAGATAATCAAATCAACACCTTCCTTACATACCACAAATCTGTAAAGGATGAAGAACTCGTAGTATCTTCTCATTCAAATTCATTCAAAAACTTTCGATGATGTCGATTCCACCTTCATTGAGGGAATTTTGATAAAGTCAATGAGTGGAATGATAAGGTTCAAATGTCATTCTTGATTTGTAGTGTAACTTGCAGTGGCAGATCATTTATCAAGGAGGATTAAAATATAAACAACGTCAGAAACAAACATGGATACTATTATAATTTATATACAAAATGACAAGGCTTTTTATTTAAAAAGCTTTTTTTACATTTTCTCCAGAAGTGATTGTAACGATAGATATATAATCTCAAGAATTTGAGAAGTAATCAGCTGAATTTACTATGACCTGGTGGTTTGCAGCCTGAACATGCTATTCACAAAAAGGTGGCCATGTTGGATTATTAATAATTGAAACTCATGATAGAAAGGAAAAGTTTACTAACTGATAAAGGGTACATTGGAGGGAGTATAAGGGCAAGTGTAATCTCTGCCACCCGAATTAGAACATGCTATGAAAGTTGAAATGTATAAGTTTAGAAAAGTGTTGAATGATATAAGGTAAAAGGAAAGTTTATAAAATGGTTCAGCAAACTGATAGAGCTTATCAAGTAAGTCTATGGAAAAACGTGAACAGGGATAACTAACCATATTGACCACTTGTTTTGAAATTGTAAGCCGAACATTCTTGATTACTCGTGCCAGCAACGTTATCAAGTACACATCCCTTCATTGGTACAAATTGACGACCTATAGACAGTTTACACAATAATTAGGGGAATTCAAACTACCCAAGATGAATAAGAATATAAAAAGATCGCAATTCACCATCTTTTGAGCACTGTTTTATTGGGCAAAGCCAGTTTACGTAAACTTCATCATGGCAAACTAGTGGACAACCAAGATTTGATGAGTATTTTTCTTGGAAAGGAACGTTGGACCGTTTCGCTTACCTGCGTTTTGTCCATTCGCAAATGGCTTGTATCCAATTATACATTTAGCAGTATTTGCGTTTGTGATAGGGAATTGCGTGATACACATAGCAATGAATATGATAACAAATTTATGAGAAGATTGGAAGAATGACATGATGATATATGAATGAAGACGAGATTGAATTTTTTTGTGGTATTTGAAAGAAATATATGCAGATAATAACGTTGTTGTAAAGTCGTGGTTAAAGGAGATTCACGGGTTTCTCAATCTTATATGCAAAAAGTAGAGCACGTTTGAGCAGGCTCAGGCTAAGGGAAAGGCAAGGCTTACTCGTTTGCCTTTCCGCATCACAGATTGAGCGGAGTTTCATACGCGGCACAAAGCGCCTTGACGAACACATCAAGCAATAGTCGACTTGAACAAGGTGCGCTATGCAGCCCGAGCCTACGGAAGCCAAGCGCCACGAGAGCAGCAGGGATGCAACGTTAGGATATTCGAAAATTCATACCGTCACACTTCCAGAGAAAGTGTTCGTGTAAATGGGCGAAAGCGTGAAGTCGAAGCAATTGACAGCTTTGTCGTAAGGCAAGGCTTACTGGTTTGTGGAAATGCAACACAGATTGGACGGAGTCTCATACGCGAGACAACCCGCCGTGACAAACACGTGAAGTGCTAGCCGACTTGAACAAGGTGCGCTAGGCAGCCCAAGCCTACCGAAGCCAAGCACCACCAGAGCAGCAGGGGTGCAGTTTTGGGAAATTCATACTGCCACACTTCTGGAGAAAGTATTTGCGCAAATGGGCGAGAGCGTGAAGCAATCAAATGGGTAACTATGCACGGAAACAGATACCCACAGTTCGAGTTTGGGATCACTACCAGACATACATGATATCTTGAGGAAAATGCTGAGTGTGCCTACTCATTTTAGGGTGACGATATAGTTTTAAGTCTTGCGGCACGCAATGTGCTTATCAACCTGTTATGCGTGTATCGATAGAATTCATAATTCCAATCCAACCAGTCTCAGAGCAGCTCGTGAAATATTTTTTTCTCTTCAGTACAACAACAGTAGAAGAGAATTCCAAAAGACATTGTAAAAGCAAAACAAACGGTCGAAAGAGGTGTATATGCGCCTATTCCTGATAAGGATCGATCTCTAAGTGTTGGGACAAAGTTCGAACTGAACTTTGTAAGAAATTCTTACTAACCTATGGTAAACTGCTCGCGAACTTCGTTGTGCAATTGATGCTCTTTACCTCTTTACCTTCTTTATAAAAAGTTGTAGGAGTTGTATGAAGCTTCTTTACCTTCACAATCAATTTGTTTACTTTTGTAAACTCATCCATTTTATCATCAACAAAACTTTCTCTCTATTCATCTCCAAGTTTAGCCAAAAAACCGTGTGAACATCAGAAGCGCGATTGAGGATGTCATGATGTCTTTTATGTCTCGTGCTGATTTGGCTGCTTAAGAAGCAGGGGGTAGTGGGTCAAGCTTGATGTTCTCACCCACCCTTCAGCATCAGCAAAAATAGATGTATTTCTTTCTTTATTCTTGTGTTCAGTGACTATTAGCATGAATGGTTTCTGAACTATTGATTGATGTGATCAATCAGTATCAATAGTTTCGATAAATGTGATCAAAAGTACGTAGATTTCCCGCTGCAGTGCGGGCCTTTGCAATTACCGTGTCCGCGCAAGGGCTGTGTCAAGCTAACCTTTGCAATGAGTCTCTGTAAAAATGCTCTATAGCCGCTGCCCTCTACGCAAGCGGAGGGTGTGTTGCAGCCTGCGCCGCGAGGATGGTCACACAGGGTCGCGGATAAGGTTGATGATCACCGTGATCATTCAGATCACGTAAAGGTCGCGCACATATTGATCGAGAATTGATACACTCTCTCACACTCTATCCTGATGACACAATTTTCTTCTCTTCGCATTCAAGAGCTGACACTCTTGATTGCAGACAAGTGAACCAATACTTGTGCACAACTGTTTGATAGTTGCGGCGGGGGCGATGGCTTTCCTCCTGACATTCAACTGATAATCACACTTTGTAGGCAGAGCAAAGGAGACTCTAAACACCAAAAGATATATGCAGTCTGAACAGCAAGCAAAAAACAGATGGTGAAGCATCAAAGGGCATACTCTGGAATACTTGTTATTTGCCAATAAGCTTCATCACAATACACAAGTCAAGCCATGACCACCAAAATGTGAAGCAAGCGGAGACCAAAGATTCAGGGACCCTCGTCACGCATGCTCACAAGCAGCTTCTCCATGGTATGAAACTTGACAATGTTCACATCATACATGTCAAAAGCCAACATGATACAAATCTTCAGAAGGTGATGCAAGGGAGCACATCATTATGTTCTATGACACAATGGTTGAGAAGAGCCAGACAGACAGAAACTCAGGCAGGCTTCAACACATATAAAAGGTCAACTAATTTGCCAATGACTTGTTGCCTATCCAATTCATCCTACCAAGTTGTTTGTCTAACCTGCACACTTGCATAGGTATGTTTCACAACAGTTTTCATCAGCCAATTGTAGTTTTTTTTTAAAATCATTAACCAAGCTCATACTTGATGGTCCCTTACCTTACCCTTTTGATTAGCCTAGATATTATCAGAGTCTCAACCCAACCTACACAGAATCTTTCTGGCATCCTGGTGAGTCTTGAGTTATTTAAATAAATCTTCTTTGCAATTTTCCATATCTGAGACTTGGTCAACCAATTAGATATCATCATGAAACTCAGCATTGTCGCAGCCATCTTCACAGCATCTGTATCATTTAACCAAGTTTTTGGTTCAATGACTAATGATCTCAAGAGTGAAAAAGGAATTCTTTTTGCTGATGAGTCTTTGGGCAACCCACTGGACCCCCCTGTAGAGATGCCAGAGTGTCAGGCATGTGAGGCTTGTCAAGGAATCAGGAAAGCTCCAACTGAGGTTTCTGATGAAAAAAGTTGGAATTTAACCCAGGATTTTATCAATGTTTCTGATGAACATGGCCGGGATTTGAATTTTTGCTGAGATTTTTTTGACAATAAATGTTGGAATTGTGGCTAATTTAGTGACATTTTGAGGAAAACAATCACACTTGGTGACTGGATGGTGGGTTTAACTTTGGGGTCAAAGCTAGGTCTAGCTATGTATGTAAATTTGTGGAAGACTGTGGAAGGATCAAATAGTATGAAATTTACAATAGAGAAAAGCTAAATTCCTCTTCTTTATCACAAACAACACATGTGCCCCCATTTGTTTGAAGATCTAGTAAACTGATGTTTTATGGGTCCAGACATTGCATCTTGAGTACACAACACTTGTCTATGAGCATGTGGCTGGAAGAATGCTTCTGTTACATGTGCTATGTCATCAACAAGCTCATTCAAAGGTACCATGAAGAAACAAAAAGTCAACAGCTTGTGGAGATGATGAATAGTCAACATGTTGTTTTCCCCTTTTTATCCTCTTTAACCTGCATGTTCTTGATCACATTTTCTATCATACCAAGTACCTCATCCAAGTATGTGATTGTATATAAACATGAAATCCAAGGTTTCTTACCAGATAACATGCATCCCCATGTTTATTCATGCTTCTGAGAGCCAGCCAATGCGGTTGGTAGTACTATATTTCCCACTGTATGCACATCCTCCCCCAATCTATAACAAAATCATGCAAATGCATACAATGGTTTTCAACAACCACTAGATGATGTTACCATCTCACAATTCATGAACCGTTGAGTAAATATGGCACAAGGCGTGATACCATCTTGTTGTGTTTTCTTTCAACATACCTCATGTTTCTTTTTCCCAATCAATTATTTCATATATCCTGTTTTGAGTGCTGATCTGTGTTATGTTATGTTATGTTATGTCATTGTTTTCTTCCTTTTCTCAAATATTTGGGTGCATGTTTTTTTTATTTTATTAATTCATCCATCATCAGATTCAAAGAGTCAACATCAACAATGTTCAAGGACTTCTGGTCTCCTGCTGTAAAGATTGACTCACCTTTTGGATATGCCAGCCTTCTTCAAGATCAACCTGTTGAGAAGAAAACCCTGGTTGGTTAAAGTGTTGACTGATCTAGGAGGTTGTGCTAAATCATGTAAGTAGGTTGTCTTTTGACCTGTGTATCTTTCTTTTCACTATATAGAGCTCACTTTGGTCTACTCAGCTTCTTCCCTCATTGGAAAGGATCTGTAAGTACGTTTTCTCTGTCAGCATCAATAGCATTATTTATTAATCTCCAATGTGTCTTATAAATCCTTTTATTAGTTTCCAGATTTATGAATTTGAAGACCTCTTGACAACTTTTTCAAAGGAGCATCTTGGCCTCTTCTCACCCATTCTGTTTGGCTAAGTTTTGGATAAGTTGGTAAAGCTTCAGCATCATTCTCTTCAGCTTTTCTAACCAATTTCTTGAATTGATGTTTAAGTTTGCATTCGAGCTGACACCTTCATTGCTTTTAGGTGGTCAACATGTAACATATGTTGTTAGCTGAAAGTTGATGAAACAAATTTTGATAGGGTTCAACAGCTTGGTTTCAAACAATGGTTATGCTGTTTGTGTGTGACAGCTCATCAGGAGGCCATTTTCATGTTTAATTACATTCATCAGATCACCTTCCTTGGCATTGGATAGAAAATTCTATTGATTTGGATGATCATTCATGAAAAGTGGTGATTATGTGGCTGCTAGCAAAGTGAATGTTTTTGTGTTTAAAGAATTTTCATTTTTCACAAAGCAACCTGATGAACATTGGTTTTTGATTCCCAAAAATAATTCAGACTTGCAATACTCTGGTTGTGTATTTCTTACCAATAAATATACATAGTTCTTTTTCCATCCAAATGACCCGAAGGCAAATGATCAGGAAGTGATGATGGATGGGTTAATTTTTGAAAGATATTATCTTGATCCTTGGTGCCATGCTGAAGTAGAGAACCTAAGAATGATCACAAATACTAGGTATATCAATCCTGTGAAAATCCACAATCAAGTGTTTTACTGAGATATGTGTTGGAGTCATCTACTGCTCTAGGTAGAAATATTTCAACCACCATGCTACAGGGAGTGTGGTTAGCTGGATCTTGACAGAATGATTCCAATGTTTTGAGACATTTCACCATCATCACAAGCCCAGAGATTTTTGACACGGTCTTGTGATGTGTGATCACAGATGTGTTATCCTTCATTCTCTTCTATCCACCCGCCAAAGTACTTGCAACATATCAAAGCAATGGCTTTTGAGATCAGATGTTATGAGGGGTTTTGAGGGGTTTTGAAAACGAGGTTTCGAATACTACCGACACCCTTGGCCTCCAGAATCCTGAAATTCAGGTATAAATGACTTGAATCTGATATTCGGATATATTTTGTCCATATTCTTCCTGGGAGCTATCCGCGGGCCTGCTATGGTCGTGATATCAAGACAGAACGCGCCCTCATGGACCTCATGGGGGGTCAGGAAGGTTTCAATTTTTTCATACAATTTTCTGTTTTATTTCAGCCGGATAGAGAGCATGCAGGAACAAAAACGTGCATACTTCCTAGTATCTTCAGGTGTGCTGAAGGGCTGAAATCCATGTTGGTTGTATGCACTTACGCGAATAGAAACCTCATGGGTATTCAGTGCTGCTCGGTTCCAGTTTCGATCATCGAGAGAAAAGCTGAGAAAAGAGACTAGCGAGCTTCTTGTCTCCGAGAGGGTTATTGGACGATCGGATAACAAACTTTGAATTCTGAAGTCTCCTTCGTCAAACAGCTGTAAAATTGACCTATGCCCTTCTCGGCACTGGTATCGCTTCTGATATATTTGCTCGAAGTGTTCAAAACCAACCGATTAAACAACCATCTGATTGGGTCAGTCCTTTGGACGTTCAACCAATACGCACGCCATAGGGTTTCCTTCCTCATAAGACCCCGAATCCAAAATCCTTCAACCAATTGCAGAACTGCGGTCACATGCATCTCGCAATCTCATTAATTCGCTGCACATCTTGCTGAGATTGGGACTTTGATGACAGTTTACGCAGTTGAATCCAGGAAAGTTTGGTTTCTATTTTGCTCCCAAGTAAAACATGTCTCTTGACTGCCTTCCACTCAAATTGAAAGATGAAGAGATGACAAATGAAAAAACTAGCGAGAGTCTTTACTCTGAGTGTGAGTAGCTTGGAATGTGGCCCCCCAGAATGTCGCCCAGGTCTCTGCGATACAACGCGTCTCGGTCCCTCGAAGCTCTCCAGCGTCGAAAAGTTGATGTTTTCTATACATGAAGGGCGAGCGTTAGACGGTGACATCAGTTTGATTAAGTTTTAGGTTGTTGATTGAAGTTGTAATTTTCATGATGGGGTGGTAAATATTTTGTTGTACATAACCATAAGCCCAAATTACAAACTCGAAGTGATGATGTGTGTAACGATAAGCCAAGCTTTGTGTCTGTCTACTTTTTTATTTTGTTGACCGTTGACTCGGTTCATTACCATCGATTCTTCCCTGCCCTACAAACTGATACTATCAATCCACTTTGAATAGCTCAAGTCCATATCATTCTAAACTATTCTCACACAAGCCATCGGACAGATTGATACATCAGTCCCCGGCTCATTCAGTTATTCATTCATCATTTTAAATTTCTACCATTCACATTGTAGTTTCCTTTCAAACCCACCTGATCGAATCTGATGGCTAATTCCTCTTCACCTAAGTCTGTTCGGCGTCCATCGGTTGGCGCCGGGATATTGAGTTCTTCCATTACTCCGATTACTATCGAATCTCCTACGAGCTTGAGGAGAGATAGTACACCCGGTAGCGCCAAAAGGAAACCAAGTATTGATCCAGGAAGGTCGGTCTGATGTGTTGTTTTGGGGTCCTAGTTCTGAACTGATTTCTCGTTTTGGGGCTACCTATATATATTGCAGACTCGGAAGTATGCACGCTCTTACGCCTGTGACTAAACTACTCAAAGAGATGGCAATCAAAGGTCCTTTTAACGTTGTTTTTATTGGAGCTGGGGTCAGTGTCTTCGTTCAGGATGAATTCACATCCGATTTCCAAGTTGGTTTCTTGTAACCGAGCTGACAATTGTGATGGGATTTGATCGGGTTGATGAAAACAGAACATTAACTTTGGAAGGTATGATCTTCCCCCTTGCTTTCGTTCGATCATCTTCAAATACAGATAGTGTGTTCTGATCTTCCGTATGATCTCGATACGCATACAGTGACGAAGGCCCGTGGAGTAAGTCTGAAACATTGGTTTAAATCGCTTACCAGTCTTTGACTCGAATGTTGATCATCTCACATTGTCATCTGCTAACGTTGACTCTGATCAACTTTGCCTGCAAATAGATCATTCGGTCCGACTAGAGCACAAGTTACAGACACGATTGAATGTAGTAGCGATCATAGATCCCGCCACTCATCGTTCCAAACAGGTGAAGGAGTTGAAATGTGCAACCTTTGTAGAGAAGGCTTATAAGGATGCAAGGTTATGTAAAGATTTAGACGAGTTTGTATCAGTAATGACTCCAGAAGAGAAACCCCACGCCATCGTGATCGGTAGTCCGGCTCAATTTCACGGTAGTAACATGTGAGTACTGCCTGTTTAGCTCATGTGTGATACAATTTTGACATGGTCATTTACCAGTCCTGGACAGGATTTGGAATTGCAATGCTTGAAGCATTTCCCCGACGTGGCGCTTTTTATCGAAAAGCCTATATCATGTGCTCCTGTTCCTGCTTGCTATGCTTTGGCCGACATCTTAGAAAAGAAAGATTGCGTAACCTCTGTAGGATACATGTTGAGATATTTACAGGTGTGCCTTTTTCTCGAAAGTCTGCGATTCCAATTGTGATTGCACTGTACTGAGATATTGGATCATTTACAGGTCATTCAACAAATGCAACGCATCATCGCGGAATCTGGAAAACCAGTGATGATGGTGGTAGCACGATGTGAGTTAATTTTTACCACCATAGAACCATGAATGTTCTCATCTGATACACGAACGTCAGATGTTTGTAGTTATGCCAAGATTAAAAGTGAAGTTTGGTGGAACAAATCAAAAAGTCTTGGTCCGATTGTTGAACAAGGCACTCACTTGGGTATGCTCTTTACTCTTCTTTTTTATGCTCTTCACAAAACCAAGAATGCGCTGTCTAATTGTTCCTGGCCGATCCTTAGTCGATTTATGTCGTTATTTTGGAGGTGAAGCTATATTGGATTCTGTCCAAGCCACATCTACCGAGGTATAGTAATTTGTCTTGATCTTTGAAAAATCCATCTTCTGAAGACTCCAGTTTTCATCATCTGATTAGTATTTCGAAGAGGCTGGAAAGCTGGAGATGATTCCAATCGACGAATCCAAGATACCTGAGGAACATCGAATTCCTCGTACTACCTCTGCACTCTGGTACGCCTTATAATTTTTCTTCCTGTGCTGCTGACAAGATTTGTTTATGAGCTGACACCAATTTGTCTTATATCTTCCAGGAAATTTGATACCGGTGCTGTCTGTTCCTTCACTCACGCGTTGACTTTACAAGGCACCAAATACTCAACCGAGTTGGAGGTATACTGTATGTGCTTCCCTTGTAGCCGCTTTTGTTTTCTCTCTCTGGCTCAGGATTGTCTTGGCTGATTAACAAACCAACTTTGAAAGTGGACGGATGGCAAATGAAAGTAGTAGATTTATACAATGAGCCCACACTCTATGTACGATCGCCCGAAGCAGATGCAGAACAAAAGATTGATTTTCCATCCGATGATCCCTACTTCGGTGAGATCTCAGCTTGGATTGATGCAGCTGAAGGAGGCAATCACTCGGATTCAGCTATTGCTGAAGATGACGAAGAAGAGATTCCAAATGGAATCTTGAGTAGCTTCAGAGACGCATGTGGGACTTATGCACTCACCTGGTTTGTTTCATTTTGTTGAAAAACAAACGTATGTTTTTGTTGATTGATCATCTTTCGTTTCTTGTCTTCTGTAGGGCTATCAAAGAAGCATCAGAACGTGCGATGAAGACGCCTGCTACGAAATCATGAAGGAAGCCAGAACAAGATCATGATGATCATCACCTTGACAAGTGTCCTTTTTGGCTCGGGCATATTTTTTTAGTATCTCCTTTTTTCAAATGATGACCGAACGCACCAAAAGATGGACTCCGTATGTGAAGAGAGAAAAATACAAAAACACGACTATAGAGATAGAATCGAATTGTTATGTTTTCTTTATGTCTTACTCTTTTTGTGAGGCTCATGTGACTGTAAGAATTGAATGGTTTCGAGCGATGTGCACTTTTGAGTTTGATGAAGGATTCTTCAATTTGAAGTCTTGCCTTTTTAATAAGTTCATCTTCAGGCATAAGGTGTATTGTGTGAATATTGCTACCCATTGTCACTAGGGACAGGGTTATTTGAGGAGTATGACTCACAGAAAGCACAATTATGAATAAGTAGTAACGAAGATGAGTGTTTGGGATTGGTTATCTGGCTGTAAGCAAGACCATGATCTGGGAGTGTTGCAAAACTACACTGTAAACATTAGCCGTGTTCAAACCAAACCCGGTTGCACAAAAACCTGGTACACCCGGTTGACTTTCTGGCTGGAAGCTGTCAAGAGCTGTCACTAGATACACAAAGTTACCACCAAAGATGCAACTGGGTGTACTGGGTTTTTGGGTCAACCGGGTTTGGTTTGAACACGGCTATTGAACAACTTCCCTTCAATTGAGCAGGGAAAAATTATTAGAAGTATAATTGGTCATAAAGTATTGATCACTGCACACCTGAGCCATAAAACCCACATTACATATCTGCAACAAGCTGAGCAAGTTGTTAGCTATCACGTACATACGGGTCTGCTCAGTTCCCTGCTCATATGAATAAATAAATCACATGCAATACATCATGTAACTTTTTCCACTTTGACAAAATCCTCCCAAAAATTGACTACATATACCTCCATAGCTACTCAGGCAATACTCTGGACACCATTCAATAGTAACAGAAAGGGTGTTACATGAGGTTCACTTGATGAAATTACAGAAAAGCTATGAGTCAGTGTATGTAGTCAATTCTTGAAATGCTTTGGTCAAACTGAAAAAAATTACAGAAGGTATTACATATGATATACTCATTCAGATGAGCCAACAGCTGAGCAGCTCTGTATGTACATGATAGCTCCCAATTTACCGATCCTGCTGCACATATGTAGTGTGGGTGCTATCACTTGGGTATGTGTTGATCAATGCTTTATGGCTAACCATACTTTCAACAATTTCCCCCCCCCCAATTGAAGGAAAGTTGTCTGATGTTTGCAGTGCTACAATCAAAAGACTTCTTAAGGAACTCAAGCATGGGGTTCAATGGTTCTCTCTCAAAAGAAATTCCCAATGTACATGCATGCATGTTGTCACTGAGATAAACAGGATTCTTTCCTTATACATTGTCAAAGACAACAAGAAATTGGTTCTTGCACCAGAACACAAAAAATAGAAGATAGAAACTATGGTTTTAAATTCTTTTCAGGTCACACCTTGTCATGCCGGTTTGACTGAGGTCAGTTCAGAGACAGTTGCTGAGTCCCTGCCAGAAACTACATATAGCAAATGGGTCAATAGATTTTCACACTGTCCACCCAGTGCCATTCCCGGGATCAACCCGGATTTTGTGGGCCAGGTCAATGCATCACTACTAGGGGGTTTCAAGTTAAAGGTTTCTACATATTTTTATGCTATAACAACTTGCCTGAGGCTGTTGTTGTAAAACATGCATAATTTTTTGTCAAGTGGGACACCTTTTGAAGTGTTTGAATTAAAAACACATTGGTTTTATGACAATTTATTTGCAAAAAACTTGCCTAAATTTTTAGAAAATACACAAGGAAAATCACACTTGAAATCCCCTACATACTGAATCTCACCTCAATCCTACTGTGCAAAGAAGTCATGTGTATAGCCATGCGTGTAAAATTGTAAACACATGTGCCAAAGTTAAATTTATGCCTTGTAATTTTTACATGCAGCCATTCCAAGATTGCTTGTTGCACACTATTGAAAAGAAAAAGTTTATGACCTTGAAACCTAAGTTTTAACCAGTTAAAACCTGAAAATTGGCTGTATTTCCTTGAATTACAGCCAACTTCAAAGTTTTATTGAGTAAAAACTTGAGTTCCACCAAGTTTCACTTTTTCTTTTTCAAAACGGAGCAACAAGAAATATTGGAATGGCTGTACCATAACAAGTGTAAAAAACTACGGGGCAGAAATCTGTATGAGCCCCCAAATTCTAATCTCACTCTCAAAACAGTTTACACTCAAACTTGGATGTAAACATCTGGAATGTCAATATACATGTTAAGACCCTCTCAGAGTTTAGATTTGCACTACACCAAACCTCACCAAATTGTTGATTGGCAATGGCTACTGCATTACCAAAGGTTCCAATTGGCAGCCCTTCCTCAGCCCACTCTGCTGCAAAGACTGTGTAAAACCTTCCATCATTGCCAAACACAACCTAATATCTCAAAATACCACAACCATCTGTAGTCAGGCAAAGGAGGCCTTTACATCTTCATGTAAGTATTTAGCTTTTCATTTTGTATATTCATTCCATAATTTCCCAAATTATCTTTATTGACCAGTATTTGCTATTTGATTCTTAGGTCCTGCTTTAATCAGTGATTGTGGTGGTGACAATCTTCCAAACAGGGAAAACAATCTTGTGCCTTAACACAAGGAGAAAATTCATGTGTATTTGATCAATCTGATTGTAAGTCATGTCACCTGTTGATATTTTAGATTGAGAATTGCTAATGGACATTGAATCTTCCTTCATCAAGATGCTTATGGAGCTTGGGGGGGAACTTACTCCAATGCGCAGCAACTACAACATGTTGGATACTATTGAGGTATCCCAACCCAAAGCCGAGGAAACTCAACCACCTAATGACCCCCTGACCCTGCACCTTATCATAAAGCAAGCCTCCCCAGATTCCAGCCCTATGAAATCACTGCCTCATAAACCAACAACTAGGAAAACCAAGAAAATCACGGTGGAAGTTAAAGAAGATGATCATATTGTACCCAAGAAGAAGGTCAAGGCTAGAGGGAAGAAGAAAAAAGTTGTGAATTTTTAGTAGTGGTTAAAGATTATATAGTGATGATCATCATTACAAGGGTAAGCACAGGAGTCATCAACATTTTCTTCCTGCTCTGTTTTTTCTTTTCTTGTTATCTGTCTCATGTGTTGTGAGTCTCAGGGAGCCTTGATGAAAACGGTGGCCAATCAAGTGGTGGAAACCATTCCGTGCTGAGTGGGGACTTACTGTGAGAATGAGAGAGAACTCAACAAAGCGGAGAGGGTAAGTAACATGATAAGAATCAAGTAACTTGATACAAATCTCAACATTAATTTTTAACCTTGTTATTTTTGGCTGAGTCAAGCGATGAGTAAAATTGTATTTCTGGGGTAGTGTTTTCAAATTTAGCACTCCAGCCCTTTGCACTGCATATTGTGTGTAAGGCGTTTGAGTGCAAAAGTAGCATTTTGCCACTCAAAAGTGATTTTTGCCCTTGTTGTTTTGACACTCCATATCGAGTGTGAGAATATCAAGTGCAAAAGTTCAACTTTGGAACATGTGTTTACAATTTTACACTCATGGATTCACACATGACTTCTTTGCACATTAGGATTTGGGCGAGATTCAGTGCAAAATTCTAATCTGCACCCCTTCATGTTGACTTTTTCACTGAATCAAAGTTCTCCATATTGAGTGTAAATAAAAGGTCCAGTGTAAAAATCTCATGACTCATAGCAACTACAAACTAAAATCCAATTGTTTTTTCGTCAACAATGTATATAGGCTTCCTAAGACGTTCCGAGTGAACTTACTTATGGGTTGGATTTGGTGTATGTTCATCTTGCAGTGATACGTAACACCCCCGTGATTGGTACAAGCTGAGCAAATTAAGTCGCATTTCCAAGTAAACAACAGCCCAAAGTCACTCAAGGGGAAATAGATGGTTGAAAACTTGCGACGCACAGAATCGGTGGTGATTATCGTCCCATTTGTATTCCACGCATTGTTGAGTGCTCGTCCCGTTCCAATTGGAGTGAGCCAGTACACAGTGATCCATCTTCACCCATCTATGACCTGATTATATATCACATAAATTTGGCATGCATTGCTCAGTTTTCTTGTGACAATCCATCATCTGGAATTGATTTTATTTGATTAAATATAACCTACCCCCGTTGGTGCAGCCGTCATCGTCGCAGTAGTATATGGTATTGTCATGAGAAGTTCCGCAAGCTTTGAAAAAAAGACACACGCTTGATAAATCTCATTCAAAGTTGTCGGACAAGAATAAAGGTCAACATACCAGCTTTACCCTTGTGTTCCCCTGTTTTTGCTCCTTTTGAGAAGCGACCGCGGCAATACAAGGAGGATTCAACGAGTGCGCTGAAACACAAGATAGAGAATAGCATAGCGATTTTGAAAAAAGACTGGTGAAACATGATGGTGAGGACAACACGAAATCAGAACAGTGACTGTACTGAGGAAGTAGTCGCTGAATCTGATATTTGAGGATTGTGCGTTGAAAGCAAGATATAATCGGAAGCGGGGGAGCTGGTGAGATGTGGAAGATTTTCTCGTTGTACGTATTTCTTGGTGTCGGTGTATGAGGCTGTCCCCTTGGCTGGCAAATTCTCGATTGTATGTAGTATGTGTACACAGCCAAGGCTCAATAAACAAACATCAAGGAATCCTCCCGTCTTGTGGGGCATTCAATTGCTGATTCAGCCTTCAAAGCCGTACCAATTCCTCCTTTCTCGAACCGAAGGTGATGAAGGGTTGTACCGAGGTCGTAGGGGAGCCTCTATAGGTGGCTAAATTGTTATCATCTCGTTAATGATGCAATCTTCTTAGGATGTTCTGCATTGGGATGACTTATCGATGGGTGTGAGTCGCTTTGGTGCCATATCACAGGAATACACTTGATGAGGTATTTGCTCTGTAGCTCAAAGTCAACAAAAGTCTGAAGTCCAGGGGAACGGAATCGTTGGCAAGATGGCTACGCGCATAATATCTACATAAAAAAGGCTTCAAGAAAACTGGTGTACATACCCATGTTATCTGAATGGTCATGTTGATATTGCAATGCGAGGGCAGTAAACAGACATTGGCGACGTGGCACAAAAAACGTCTTATGGAGTTGACATTTATTCCCATCTAGGACGTGGAGATACCATATACGAGCTCGTGGTTTTGGCTCAAAGCCCCTACCAATCAATTCTTGCATAGTAGAATTTCAGCTCCTAAGACCTGAGAGTGGTGCCAAACTTGACTACGTCAACTCGCTCCTCGCGAGAGTGGTCCAGACTTATGATCAAAAGAATTCTTGAGGAAGTCCAGCAGAGTGTACAACGATTCTCTCTTGCAACAGACTGACCACGTTTCAAGGAAGTTCCCAATGTACATGTTGTAGCTTGCTTCTGAATGGGTCACACATAACAGTTGATTTGTAACTCAAGTCAAAGACTCGAAAGATAACGGCGCGAAAGACAGGTGTTTGTACCGTTACAAAATACAAATTCTGGGTTTGTATCAATTTGAGGTCAGGCCTTGGTATGTGGAAATGAGGGTTGTTGAAAAACAATCATTGGGTACCTCCCAGGAACTATACATAGCAAGTATCACAACCTGAAAGGCAATTGTATTCTCTTGTCAACGATTCGGTATATAAACTTGCCTGCTTTGAAGTGAACTGACTTATGGCTTGGATTTCCTCTGGTGTCACATCGCAGAAATACACCTTACCCCCGTTGTTTCTACAAGCTAAGCAAATTGATCCAGATTTCAAAGTAAACAAAAGTTTTATTTAGGTCAAGAGAAATTGGATGGTTGAGAAGTTGTTACGCACTGAACCGGCTCATAGAGTCTACCCACTTGTATTTCACGCATTGTTGCTCACTTTGACCGGGCCAGTTGAAGTTAGATAGTACACATTTCGACATTTTGACCCATCTATTACCTAGTTTCACATCCATCAAAGTTGATATGCATTCGTCAGTTTTCTTATGAGACTCAATAATCTCACAGCGACGTTATTTGGTGAAAGACACCAACCCCCATTGGTACAGCTGTTGTCTTCGCAGTTGTATGGAGCTGCATCCCCATCAGGCTGGCAACCTTTGAAAAAAGATACACGTTTGGTAAATTCCATTCAAAGTCCTCGGTGAATGATCAAGACTGATAAAGGCCAACCTACTAGCGTACCCTTTGTTTATCCCTTTTACTCCTTTTGAGAAGCCCCCGCGGCAAGGCAAAGAGCACTCGACGAGTCCGCTGAGACATACGATAGAGAACAGCACAGCGATGCTGAAAAAAGACTGGAAGAAAATCATGGTGAGGAAAGCACGAAAAATAATTTGACGGTGGTGAGGAAGAAGTCGATCACAATTCAGGAAAGTGAACCAACATATATTCGGGACAGGAAGAAGGTGATATATGCATGATTTTCTCGTGGAAAATTCTCGATGCATCATACCCAGCCAAAAAACGGAAAAGTACACATCAGGTCTTATCAGATCTTATCTTGCGGGGAATTCAATTGTGTATTCAGCCTTCAAGGGCGTGTGTAAAAACTCTTCTGCTTCAACCTCAACGTGATGATGGATTGTGCCGGATATTTATACGTGTTCGTATGTGTGCTGCATGCAGGAGAGCCTGGTGTTCAGATTCACATTGGTATTTTTCAACCAACGCACACAGATAACGTCGGCGGCTCAGAGATTGGGAGAAGTCGTCGATCAGCCACATTTTCCACACTACGAGTCAATCAGAAATTATGTCCTGTCGGTCAACAAGGGTCTGTATTTTGCATCTCGCCCAACCCTAAGAGTCAATAAAGATTTGGAAACAAGTTTTCTAAATGCCCAAACAGCTGATTCTTGCATAGCAGCAGGTCACTTTCCAGGTTCTTCAAGGGATGCAACATCATGATGAAGGCAATTCTTGAGCAAATCGAGCAAATCGAAAACAAATTTTCACTTCTCACCAACTCAGACTGGCAAGGTTCAAGGATGAATTTTGCGCTCTGCAGGTTGTCTTGATCTAAAATAAGCAAAGTTACTTCTATGAAGGTGCGCTGTTTGGTAAAATGACAAAGTGGGTGACCAATGGGTTATTACTTAGGTCAAAGCTAAGGGCAGACATGAAGAAATCAAGATCAAGTTTGAATCCAGAGCAAATTACTTGAAAGAGAGAGTAGAAATTCCTGTTTTATGTCACTTTCAAATCACGCCTTGGTATGGCGGTCTGAGAGTCAAACACAATCATCGAACACCCGCATGACTATGCGAAGCAAGTCTGACAAGCTGAATGGCATTTTTGTCTCGTCAATGATGTAAGCTTCCCTAGAATGTTTCGAAATGGACTGACTTATGGGAGTGAGATCGTCGAATTTCATATTGCAAGAATACACTTGATCTTGGAAAGTGGTGCAAGCTGAGGAATTGAATGCGGATTTCAAATCAAACAAAGGTCAGAAGGAATTCAAGGGAAAAGGGATAGTCGAAAAATGTCTACGCACAGAATTGGTTGATTGTAGCGTCCCAGTTATACATTTTACATTTCTGATCGGTTTCTTTACGGTTCACGGATTTGTTCAATAAACAATGATGCATTTGAACGTATCTGTCAACTAGGTTCACAATCATCAAAATCAATAGGCAAAAGTTAGCTTTCTTGCGATGATTCAAGATCAGAAAGTGAGTTTAGTTAGTCAAAAATACTTACCACCGTTGCGACAGGTGTTGTCTAGGCAATTGTATTCGGTGTCCTGAGTTTTACCAACCTGGCAAGCTTTGAAGAGACACATTTCAGACAATGTTAATGGTGATTCTCGAAAAAGTTATCAGGGGGAAAGAAGGCTCAACATACTAGCGAAACTTATGTTTTCACCTTCTATTCCTTGTGTCCATCCACCGGTGCATTTCAAGGAAGAGACGATGAGTGTGCTGAAACAAATGGTAGATATCAGGACAGCAATTTTAAGAAAAGACTGGTGAAACATGGTGGTTAGAAAAACAAGAAAGAACGGTGACAATAGTGATGAAGTGGTTGATGACGCTTGAGGAATGTGAAGCAGGATATGATCGGGAGTGAGGGAGCTGGTGAGAAGTGCACTCTTAGCCTTTTATCTTCGTGGGTTGTCCTCCAATAAGCTCCAATACGACGATGAAGGAATCTTTTTGTCTTGCAAAGTCAATTGTGAATTCAGCCTTCAAGGGCTGAAGAATCTTTCTTTCATTGAAACCAAGTTGATGAACGGTTGTGCCGGATTGGTACAAGAGCCTTTACATATAGAAGTGAATTTTTAGTTCAGAGTCACATTGACATTTTCCAACCAAAGCACACGACGATAACCTCTATGGCTCCCATTTCAAAATGTTCACCCTTGAATTGGCCGTCCAAGTTCCACCCATCAAAAGTGTAAAAATGAAAGCATATGTATGGACTCAGCGCAGTCAGCTCATTTCTAAGCTTAACTGACACCTGATGTTCTTCTCTAGACTCTATGTGGTCAATCACATCAATGGGAGGCTTGGGAGTGAAAAGACATGCACTTTGTCCGTCCAGAATTTAACATCTTCCTGTTCTTGCTCGCTGGGGCATGATTATGAACACCTCTATCAGGTGTTCATCGATAGTTGTGATTATAGCTCAGCATAAGATGATGGTTAAGTGTTGTCCCAACCATAATCAAGGTGTCAACCCACAAAGCCTGTATGTCTGTATACATAGGACTATTTTTCTTGCAATCAACTTTTTCAGAGTTTTACAGAGTTTCGCTGCTTGCTTCTCATTGCGCTTTTGGATTCGAAAGAATTTTTATCAAGACGACGATACCATGAACTCTTCGAGCGAGACCAGAATTGAAGCTTTCAATCATTGGCTCAAAGATCGTGGAGTGATTCAGCATCCATCTATCTCAATTCATCATTTTGGTCATCAAGGTCATGGTCTAATTGCTACTGAAGATATCGAAGCTGGCACCATACTTTTTTCAATACCTCGACCACCCGTTTCAAATTCACCTTTATTAACGATTGGAACATCAGATTTCTTAAGTAAACTAGGCACATCAGACGCGGAGAAAATTTCCAGGAATTGGATACCACTTTTGATGACTATGATGTGGGAGCGCGCTCGGGGATACGATCAATCTGTACCTTCTCATATGTCATGGAGGCCATACTTTGAAATGATGTGAGTCTTGACTTCTATTTATCCATCAGCGGTCTTCTTGATTGATCGCCGTTTTTCAAAGATCGCGATCGCTCATCATCAACTTTTATCTCGCCTTTTTTATCCAGGCCGACAGAGTTTGATACCTTGATGTTTTGGTCGGATGACGAGTTGAAAGAGCTTCAAGCCTCAACGGTCCTTGGCAAGTAATCCATTCGATGACTTACTCAGCATAAGCTTCCAAATCTTGGACGTAAACACGAAAATTGACGTGTTTAACATCCCTACTCTTGATTGTTGTAAACGTTAATCGATTGGTCAGATAGAAACGATTGGTAGAGAAGAAGCCGAAGCTGATTACCATCAACTAGTAGCCCCACTAATCCGTAGTCGATCAGACCTTTTTCCGATCCCTACTTCAAATCAAGGGAAAGTTTGGACATGGGATGATTTCTATGGTCTTCAAATTTATCATCTTATGGGGTCTTTGGCCCTTTCTAGATCTTTTGAAGTCGATGTGGTACCTGAAACCGATAATCATGATGAAGAGGAGGAGGTAGATGATGATAAGTCAATAGAGGATCAAGACGAGAATGGTGATATCTCAATGACTGCAGCCAGTGCTTCATCAACTGGTATAATTGAAGAAGAAGTGGGATTGAATACTTCAGAAGGTGTAGCAATGGTACCATTAGCAGATATCCTTAATGCAAAGTCAGGTTGTGAAAACGTCAGTCTATCTCAATCTCTTTCTCCACCTACTTATAAGCTGAGTTTGTATGGAAACTATTTCACCCGATAAAACTTCTCATCCACCTTCTATTGTTTTGAACAGGCCAAGTTGTTCTACGAGCCTACTACACTGAATATGACAACTACCAAATCTATCAGAAAAGGAGAACAAATAGTGCGTCTGATGATGCCTCTGTCAATCCTCAAACTATCTCGAAGTCTGACTCATTTAGCCTTTTCCCGGCGGGATTCTTTGGTAAAGTATAACACATATGCTGATCCACCAAACGCAGATCTCTTGAGACGATACGGACATGTAGATGACGAAAACCCATTTGATCTTGCTGAGGTCTCTCTCGAACTTTGTATACGACTCGCTGCCGAAAGTCTCCATCCTTCTGACCCTCAAAACCAAAATACCCTAGACGAACTGAAATCTAGAGCCAAGTGGGCACTAGAAGTGAGCGATATAGATGAGTGAGTCTTCAAATCAAAATCAAATTCTCCTTACAATTTTCCTCATGGTCTGATGTTGGAATATTTCCTAGAATTTTTATGCTTCCTACAAAAAGTCAACGTGAACCAAAAGAAATTTTACCTGATGAACTAGTCATTATGCTACGAATTCTCTTATCAACAGAGGAAGAATTTCAAACATGGAAATCTAAAGGAAAAGTACCTAAACCTGCTATGTCAGAACCTATTGCTCAACTTGCAATTCAAATTCTTTCAAATCGATTGAATCAATATTCAACTACAATTCAAGTGAGTGTTTACCAAACTTTTTGCTCACTCTTTGAGCAGAAATTAATTTCAACTTGTATTTTTTGGTCCAAAATCAGAATGATCAAGATTTATTAAAAGATCAAAGTTTATCAAGAAGAAAATTAAAATCTATTAAAGTTAGATTAGGAGAAAAGTTAATTTTAAATGACCTTTTAAATGATCTTAATAAGTCTATTCAAATTAATAATGGAAAAAGGAAGAGTCAAAATCAACTTGAAAAAACCAAAAAGAATACAAAGAAATCCAAAACTTGACGTACAATTTGATCTTCACTTAACTATGTAGACAACTTCATTAATGTTTTCTTCAACAATTGATATTGATTTATATAAAGTTTGAAAATTTGATGCAAATGGTATGATTGATTGACTGAAACTTATTTGGATCTACTAAATGGTCCAGGTGATGGTCAAAATTATCAAAGTCTTTCAACATCTTACTCAAAACATCCTGGCACCTATCACCAAGACCACATACTTCCTCACAAGGAAATCTCAGAGGGGTGACTAATCATCAGTATTTCTCACACCAACAACATTTTGAATCCAAGGTATTCTTGGATCTCACTTGGATCTCAAACCTTCAACAGAATCTTTCTCAGGTTTTGATCCAAGGTAATTCTCAGCATAGGATAATATGTTGGTTCAGAACCTTGGTCAAGGCCTGTCCAAGGATTTGCCTCTGTTGATGTGTCAAATTCCTCAACCTGAGACTTATGTTGGCAATCTTACTGGTTGCAAACATGAAACTTACCCCTAACCCTTGGCCATGTCAGACAGATCCTTGTAATGGCTTGCTGAGATTGCCTAGTTTGGCATAGACTTCACTGTAAACATCATACATTATCCCCAAGTGAGATAGGGAAAAAGATTAACATTGTAGTTTGTCATGAAAAGACATATCACTGCACACCTGAGGCATAGCACCCACACTACATATGTGCAGAAGGATAAAACGATTTGGAGCTAGCATGTACATACAGTGCCACTCAGCTATTGGCTCATCTGAACAAGTATATCATATGTAATATCTGCTGTAATTTTTTTCAGTTTGAGAAAAGCATTCCAAATATTGACTACATACACTGACTCTAGTTTTGGTGTAATTCCATTAACTAACTAACTTGTAACACCCTTTCTGTTACTGTTGAATGGCTTCTTGATTATTGCCTGTGTAGCTATGGAAGTATATGGAGTCAATTTTTGAGACAGTTTTGTCAAGCTAGAAGAAGTGACATGATGTACCAAATATGATTTAATTATTCAGATGAGCAGGGAACTGAGCAGACCTGTATGTAAATGATAGCTAACAATTTACTCAGAGCATCCGCACTCGTGCGGTAAATCGAGTGCGGTAAGGTTAAATTTAACGCAACCGCGGGGTCTTTTCCGCACCGGTGAACAATTAGCCCCGCGGTAGTTAATTTTTCATCAGTTTGCGTTAGCGAATTGGTAAATCTACCGATTGGCTAACGCATGCGGTAGCACACATCACGACCTGTTCACAGCAACTACAACTCCAAAAACTCAACTCAGCCCAATCTCCAATACCAAAGTCAACAACAAACATCGTCTTTTCACCTCTCTCACCCAGTCACATGAATTGAATCAAGACCTTTTAACACCAATCGAGGTTTTTACGATCGTTTTTTTTGTTTTTTTGTTTTAAAATAGGTCGTTTGAAAATCTTCAACTCGACTTCAAACCAATCGAATCAATATGAAGAATTTCAGACTTCACATATGTATAGAGATAGATGAGAAAATTGAATTCTAAAGACTAATGACTGGAAGACTTTTAAGATCAAGAGATACAAACCAAACAGTTGAAAAAAGCTGAATCAAACATTAAAAAAAGTTTGGATTGGTTCAGATTGTTCATCTTGCTTGTGTAGTTTCAAATCGTTAGAATTTTCACAAGATCAATAGATGTATTCAAATATAGCCTTTGTTTTCTTAAACTTGAAATTGTACTTGAAAAATTGAATGTTACCTTACTGCATGACCACTGTGGAGCACATGCATTATCGGTAAAGTTACAAACGTTACAGTGCTACTAACGCAAACGAGTGCGAAATTTGGCTGAGTTAAGTCATTTTTTGCTTAATGTAGCGGTTGTTACCGCACGTGACCAAGTTAACAACCGCAAACGAGTGCGGATGCTCTCAGCTTGTTGCACATATGTAGTGTGGGTTTTATGGCTCAGATGTGCAGTGATAGATGTTTTTATGACAAACTACAATAATAATTGTTTTCCAATTCCCACTTGGGGATAATGTATAATATTTACAGTGCTTCTTGGGAGAATAGAACAGTGGATCTGCCTCTAATATTGTACAAGCAGCTGCGGAAAAGATACATCACCCCTAAGGGTTGATTGCCTTACACTTAGGTGTATTACATATGCTATAGCAATGCTTTGGTAACATATCTTTTCTGTGTCTGCTTGTATGTAGGCACCAAAAATATAGCACCTACAGCAATTTCTGGGGATTTGGGCGCTAGTTTTGAGCACCACTGCCAACATAGATTCCTCGGGGTGCAAAATCCAAGGCATCATTGGAGGTAAATCCTTGGACAGAACATTATTCAACAAAAGGGAAGCTGTATCTATCAAACCGTACAAAACAAAAGGCAAATGGATAGCTGACACACTAATTAATAATTTAGAAAAAGGACAAGCAGGGGCAATATTTCAACTAAGATGGGGCCATTGCCCACTACAAAAATTCTTACACCGTATAGGGGTAGAAGAACACAACAAGTGCAACACTTGTTTTGCAACGGAAACACCAGCACATTTTCTAATATACTGCAGAAAATTCGCCAAACAACAACAAGTTTTTAGACAAAAACTGAAAGAAGAAAAGATCAAAGTTAACACAAATTTGGCTACAACATTATTAGATACACCCAAAGTATACCCTTACTTAGCACAAATATATCTAGGAAATGGGAAGGTTTCTTCACTTTGAAACATATTTAGATAACTGAACTCAAGAAGTTTACATTAGTAATGCTCTATGTTTGATATACCTTTTTTTCCTTTCTCTATTTCTGTTTATATTTTCTCAATGTGGGTTTATCAAGAAGAATCTGTTGTGAAGGCAGAGTAGTTCATTACATTCAAAGCCCCAAAAGAAGTTGTAAATTACATAATTACAGTAGACACACTTGGACAGTTGGTGCAATTAGGGTGTTCAAACCTGTGCAAGAAATGTGCAAGACCGACGTGCAAGATCCGTGCAAGATCCGTGCAAGATTTTTTGCACTAATCTTGCACAGTAATTTTTTTGACAACCCGAGTTATTGTGTTCCAAACCGTGCAAAAACCGTGTCCAAACCGTGCAAAAACCGTGCGAGACCGACTCTTGCAAGTTTTGTGCAAGATCCGTGCAAGTTCTATTCATATCTTGCACAGAACTTGCACAAAACTTGCATGAATTGATTTTGAGGTTTGAACACCCTAAATATGTGAAATCAAAAGCACTTGAAAAAAGAATAAATGTTGCCTGCCTGGTTTCATTCTTTTATTTTTCTAAGGTTACACTAAAACTTCTACATAAGAGCTGTATTCCAGGGTGCAAGGACTGTGAAAGATCACAATCTTGTTCATCTTTCACAATCACTGCTTTCTTTGTACCCAAAATGCACAACCTTTGGTAGGGTTGCAACCAGCGGGAAGGTGAGAGGAGACTTGAAATGAGGATTACATACCATGCCCCATGTAGAATCTAGGTCGATAATTGTTTAGTGCAACCTTTAAAAAAAACGACATTTATTCTCGAAACTGCTATACCAAACTAGCCTATTGATAGACAGAGTAGTGGGAGGAGTTAGCAAGGAGTGGATTGCTTTATATGACACGGCTGGATACAAAGATGAGTTTATAACTATTTGGGTAACATATATTAGGTGAAGTATTAGGAGGGTCCATGTGATTTTCCAAGATTAAAGCTCAGCCCAAGTTGGTGGAAGCTAAAACTAATTTGCGAGTGAGGAGAATCCGTTGAAATGTTTTAGAGGGTTTTATCTGTACTGAAGCCGTTTAAACTGATTAAAGGTTAAGATTTGAGTATCCCTCGTCAATCGGTGCCTTTGACCAGACTGCTAATTACAAAACTATCATTATTGCTTTCCAACATTCGTCTCAACAACATTCACAAGTGACCTTTCACTGTTTCGGATGAATTCACGAAACTCGTATACGACCTCGCCTCCTGGTGGATCATGGGGATCGAACGGAACTCAATCTCCTGGTCGCGGTGGCGGAGGACGGGGACGAGGACGGGGACGAGGGACTGGCCGTGGAGGGGGAGAAAGCGTTGGTCGAGGACGAGGAAGAGGACGAGGGGGATTCAAAGCTCAGCAGCTCAATCGTGTTAATTTCAACTATCAAAATATTTCACGCAATCCAGCTTTTCAAGAAAATCGTATAGGTAAGGCCTACCATGCTTCGACTGTTGATAGGATGATCAAGCTCTCTGGATAATTAATCGATGTCTGATCTTCTAGACGTACCCATAAATCCATACGGACCATCTCGCGATCAGAACTCTCCTAGCAACAACAATCGATCTGGACCTCCACAGCCCTCAAGTTTCCCTCGGCGCGGTTATCCATCTCGAATCCCCACTAATCGCTCTTCACACAGGCCTGCTGAGCATGGACGAAGCTTCAACTCAACCAATCTCACCAATGCACCTGGCCAATACGTTCCTCCACATCTTCGAGCCCAAATAGCTGCTTTACTTCAGGAATCTCTACCGGGTCGAAGTGTTCCTCGACTCCTAATCCCAATCAACTTTGTCAAAGGTACCGGATTGGACGAAGCGGCCTTGAAGAAAGTAGCCGAAAGTCAGATGACACTTCATAAAGAACCCATTGTCATTGAACCGACTCAAGACTCGCATAAGAAACCTATTCAACCAATTTGTTCACAATCGCTTCACGTCTTACCAACCGATCTACCAGAACCAGAACAATTCACGTTCGAATCTTGGGGAAAGGTCAACGATACTGAAGCTACTATGTCCGACATGGTACAAACTACTCTTGCCGGACGAACGGCAGCCACTGCTGATTTGCCGACTGAGGCAGCTTCAGGTACTCTGAATCAGCCCACCAACCGAATGTCCGAGCAGGTTCCACTCGCCTCAACTCTTTCAGAGAAGACCGACGATCGATCAAGTAGCCTCTCAAAGGCTTCATCGACCATTCTTGAACGTTCCCACCAGAATGATGATAAACCGGATGAAACTTCCAACCAGACAAATTTATCATTACTCTTGCCCAAAGACACCTCTAGTGGGACTTTTCTCAGTCATGCGCCCTCTGCAAAGCTGAATTACGCCTTCGAACTTCCCCCATGTTACACGTCTGACAGGGACGAAGAAAGCACGCAGATGATGGCATGTGATACCGTAGCTGCAGCTTCTATCAAATCTCACGACTCACCAGCGCCTGCAGCGATCGAAGATCCCTCCGTCTTGATAGCATCTCTGAATGTTTCCGAGGTGACAGTCCTTTCTGGCCATGATGAGATTACGGTCGCCCCTCAGACTGAACCCGACGAGACAAAAACCACATCTGATCCAGCGCAAGTCACATCTGATAAAGAAGAACAGGATGCATTTATGATCGATTGCGAAGGTGACCCTACCTTGGCTCATCAACTAGACTCTTCCTCTTTTCAAAAGCCTCGCCGTACACATTATCAACCATTACACGAGCCTGTACTTCCACCTCAAACAAAACAGGAAGAACTTGTAGTACCATCCTCAACTCAGTTTGATGTCCAAAAACCGTTTACAGTGTCTCATCTCGCTCGAACAATTGTTGATCCGATTGTATCTACTCAAATCTTGAAAGATGATGATCCTGATAACTCGATAAATTTAGGCCCCTCGATTGCGAAGAAAGGCAAAAAATTGCAAAAGAGACGTGAGGCTCTTCGTGTGGAACTACGTAAACAACGTGAACGTGAAGAAGCTCGATTGAAGATTCCCAGAGAAGGTGACAGTGATCTCGAATGGGGACCCGCTGGACCTCCAGTTGATCTGAAACCTTCAACTTCCAAGAAAGAAAGGTTTGAAGAAGGGATATCTGTGCGAAACCAACGTCGTAGGAAACAGGCTGAAGAAGAACTACTTATTGAAGATTACATCCTCAACACTACGAACGAAGATGATGAAGTTGATGAAGTTGAGGATGCAAAGAGAATGAAATCCTTTATAGATGCTGTTTCTGGGAGTACGAGTAGACACCAGACTATTGAAGACCTAGACGAAGAAGACATGATGTTAGAGGAAACCAAGTATTTTCAAAGGAGACGCTGCGGTTCTGGTTCTGGTCAAGAGGAAGATTGGAAGAAAGCATCTGGATCTGACGGTGAAGATTCACTCGATGAAGACTCAGATAGTAAGATCTTCCCCCTGTTTCTTTTGGATTCCTGCCACTGTATCTCTAATTCCTTTTGACTTCCTATCAATTTCAGGTGATGTAGAATCCGACGCAGTGATGGAGGCTATCCTAGGGCAAATGATTGAGGATGAGTCAGATGACCTCTCCGGTGAGGATGGTTCAGAACGTGGGCTGGATGATCTTTCTGGTGAAGTGGAAGATCTCGAACTACTGTTGCAGCATGAAGAAGCAGAGGCAGCCGTTGAGGTAAACACTTTTCCGTTCATTTGGCAATGTTCTTGGTTGAACACTTTCGTAGCCGTCATTGAATTTTCGCTTGCCTGATCGTGTGGTCCGTTTAGTTGGCGTATGGTGTGTCAGAATCGGAAGATCTCGATTCTGACAATGACGATGACCTAGACGAGGCGATTTGGGGTGTTGATCCACAAGCAGCACGCAAAGGTGATTGAAGATACCGCTTTCAGCGAGCGTAATCAACATTTCTGATTTGCTCACGTTAATCCCTTTGATTTTGTCGATGAATCTTTTAGCCATCAAAAAAGGTTAGTCGATATTGTATTGATGTCGGCGAAGCCTTCCAATCTGTTGATCAAAAATCACTCTCTGACAAGCCCATCATCTTCTTTAACGGTTTTGTAGCAGCACGTGCTACTCGTAAAGGAAAGAATAAGGCCAAAGTCAGCTCAGGCTATATGTTTACCGATGCATTACAGAAGCAATGGGAAGCCGATCGTAAGAAGAAGGCAGCTAAGAAGGCTCTACGTGAAGTAGCACGACTTACTGGCGAGATCAAATCCAAGAAGATGACGAAGGAGTCTAAAAAGGAAAGCTGGGAGAAAACCGATCTGTTCAACACGCATGAGAATATTAGATACTTTATAGAAAACTCTTTAGACCAAAAATCTCTTCGACTATCGCCCATGAGTAAGAAGGGTCGTGCAAAGATTCATCTGGTGGCAAATCTCTACGGACTGAAGAGTCACGTGAGCTGAATCTCTCTCATCACTTCTTTTATCTTTCTATATAAAAAAAGAAAAGGTTCTAATAAATTCATTGCACCTTGTACATTTGGTTTACAGTCAAGTGGTAAAGGCAAGGCCCGTGCAACCACTGTAGAGCGTACTCATTATACTCGAGTTTGGGGAGTAGATCTCAAAAAGATACAAGCAATCTTATTTGGAAAGTCACCCCCAAAAGGTACACAAGCCTATAAAGATTATCAAGGAGAATATAATCTTAGACCGATCCAAGGAAATAATAAAGATGGAACATTAGTTGGACAAGGAGCAAGTGAGATTGGACAAGAGAATGTTGGGTTTCGATTATTGGCTAAAATGGGATGGACTAAAGGAGATACTATGGGATCTATTAGTTCTAATAATGGATTAACTGCTCCTTTAATGGCTGTTGTAAAAAATTCAAAGAATGGTTTAGGTATGACTAATTTTTATTGAAAGTCTTGCTAGTTGAGAATTTTTTGATTGTTTTTTCACCAAACTTTGTATTACAATCAGTATTTTTGCTTGCTTCTGTTTTTTCTTTTTTACATGGTATGAGAGCAATAAGCCAATGGGGTGAGCGTAAGTATACTTGCCTTGATTATAATTGCTCAATCAGGATCTCCTGCTGTTCTTTCAATCGCTCTTCATTGAAGTGATCTATTTGATGGCTTGATGATAATTTAGGAAATCATATGTATGTACAATCTGCCATGTCAAAACATCTTTGAGTCAAACAATTGCACCTGGGACAGTTTGAAAGACGTGAGCAAAGATACACGAATCTAGTCTAAAAATATATATACAACTTCACTCCATAACGCTCTGCGTGTCACAGCCAGACAAGTCACCGTAACCACAACTTTGAGATCACTCGAGATTTTTATAAGGCGGGGAGATGATTGGATCGCCTTTGGATCTAACCACAATCGCTGCTATTCATATCATTGATACAACTAGGGTCACTAGGGAGGACATTCACCAGAAGTATCAATCATATAAGTGATCAAGTTTGAGTGAGCAAGTTTGAGTGAGAGATTGAGAAGTAGCCCTGGTAGCCTCGACTTACATTCTATTTTCTACGCTCGGAACGGTGTCCCCAGATGAGGGTTCAACTTTATGGCTGGTGGTGCGGTCAAATGATTGAGTAAGATGTCAACGTATTTGTATGATGAATCAATCTTAAAACGCAGATAAAACTCCACTCACGCTTCTTTACCTGGAATGGGCTTGGAAGAGATTGTGACTGTGTTGATTGCCGGAGAGGTTAGTATCAAGAGAGAGACGAACAGAGATAAAAGACAACGATAAGTTTCCTCACCAGCTAGAACAGGAACAAGAATGAACTTATAGAAAAGCATATAAATTTATGGATTGGATGGTTCTTATCTGATGTCCAAGAGATGATGTGATTCTGGAAGGGGACGAAGGTTAGGATATTCAGTCACATGATGAGGCAGAATATTGACGACAAGCTCTCCTTTTTGTAAAACAGGGTTGCAAAAGCAGAATAATAAATCAAGGGGTGCCATTGCCGTGCTTGGCTACCCTTTGAGAACCAATTTTCTTAATAAACCAACTCGCCGCGATAGACAACAGCTGCGCCAGGGCGGCGTTCTTAGCGCAACACAAGGGCCACCCAATTTCCAGGAAAGAACAAACATGGGACATTAGTTGGACAAGGAGCGAGTGATGTAGGTCAAGAGAAGGTCGGGTTTTTATTAGCCATGTTGGTTAAAGGAGATACAGCGAGGTTTATTATTTATCGTAATGAATTAACTCAACCTTTGATCATTAAAGCGGTTCACAACAATCAAATCAGTAATCACAACATAAAATCACTCAAAGACCCTCAGAGATGGTAGCGTGATTATATGTTGAAGTTGGCAGATACTATCTCCATCCAAACTTATCAAAGTCCCTCGCCAAAGGCCCAAGGCTTGAGCGAGGGACTTACCGCTAAAAAGAAAATCGTGGCCTGAGAAGTAGCCTGTATTCACGCCGGGCAAATTGAGGTCATGGAGTGAATACAGGTTGCGCAGTCATGTTGAAAACAGAAAATATTTTTGCACTGTGAGTCATGTCACAGCTGCATGACATGTCTTCATGTATTGCGCCTCCACCAGTCATGCAAGTGACATGGGTACAGTTGGTCCAGTCTAGTCACGACCAGAGCCTCTCCGCAAAATCGAAATTCGATTACACAATTTTATACACTTAACACCTACTATTAAAGCATATGTAAGAAGTCATTTATGGGCTAAGAGTATGGTGTTTGTGTCAGAAATGACTTGGTAAGACGATCGGCTCGGCCAATTTTTTTTCAAAAAATTTTTTTTTTCCGAGACCTCGAGATTTGGGTCTAGGTACTTAAAGGGCCTAATATTAAGTACTTGATGACTTAAGTTAAGTACCTAAGTACTAAACCTATGTATTAAAGTACTTAGGTAAGCCCTTAAGTGGCTACTTAAGTACCCTGAGACGCAGAGCAGTGCAAGCACCTCTGTTCACAACTCATTCAGGACAAAACAGCATACTTCGTATATAAATTTCAGATCACATTCTTGTATTTATAATCAGGATAACATTCTTGTGTATAGATTGATGATAACATGAAGATAACAAAGTAAAAAATTTAAGGGTTGCAAATGAAATCAAGATTCAAGGCAGCCTTACGTGGAATACATCGGTGTGAACGATATCGCTTATCTTTAGCTAAGTTTTCGGCGTGCACCCCAGTGAAACCCTCTCTGAATTAAGACAAATAGACATTCATGCATTAGTATATATTGATGAGAAAAGACAAGAAAAATCTAACCAACCGATAGATATTCATATGTCGATCAACCTTTCGAAGATACTTTCGGATGGTTGATACCGGGCAGCGCTTGCGTATGTACTCAAAGAGAATTTGACAATCTTTGAAGGTTTTGCATTTGAAACTGTTGGGTTGATAATCTTTGAATTCAAACAAAAATTAGTAAAATACATAAATATGATATTCATTGAAATTAACTTACGGTGCTTGATGTAAGACCAATATAGCTCTATTGGGTTGAGCTCACAGTGGAACTTAGGAAGGAATAAACATATATGACCAGCCTCCTCAATGACCATCTGAAGCAATGGCTTCTCGTTCAAAAAATCTGACTGCATGGCCAAGATCTTCGATGCACAGCAGTATGGATCATCAGGGTTGTTGATGGAGGATGTGTCTGGGGTTTCACCTTTCTCATAAGATTCTTGTGCTTCTTTTTCACGTTGTAATCGGGATTCTCGAGCAGCTAGATCACGTTTAGTTGTGGATAGCTTACACATCGCACAGTGTAAGACAGTTTTGTTACTGGATTCTTTCGCTTTTGCTTCGTAGAGGTCCCACAAGCCACGCTCGGCTAGGACGCATTGGATGCCCTTGTTTTTCCCAGCAAGATTTGCATCAGGATAGTCGGCTGGATATACCATGGACTGAGGAAGTCCTTGTCTTTCAATTGGGATTCTAGGATCGTCGGTTGGGATCTCGGTATCTCGTAATGGTGCTTTCTTGCCACCAGGATTAAGGTTCATGTTGGAGACTTGGAGAGCTGAAGGTCCGTAAGACTCGTGCGCAGAAGAACAGTCAAATATAAAAACTGCCTGTGCGTTTGGGAAGAGATAATTGAAGATAGGAATTGCTCGATTTTGTACTTGCTCGATTAATTGCATGCAATCCCACCAAGGATCGCCTTTGCTTCCAGGGTAAGTAACCACTGCAGCATCGGTAAAAGGAGGCAAAGGCAGTCTTCCATGTTCATCTTCTGAAGTAATGACAAGTCGTCCAGTGCTGGTAGCTGGGGTGATCCAATTGGAATCATGAATGAGTCGTCCATCGCTCTTCTTACGCAGCTCTTGAACATTATCTTTGACCCAGGCTCGTTTCGGTCTCTCGTTTGCGTGGACCATTGACTCGTCGTGGTAAAGGAAAATCGTCTCCTTCTCATCTTGAAGGACAAGAGGATCTGGAGCAATTGAGAACTCCAGATCCTCGCCATGATAGACTCGAGAGCGTTTCTGCAGATCAAGTATCATCTGTAGATACTTGTGGCGGTACGCAACAACATCTGGTCGTTCATGTCCATTGTAGTACAGTCCTTTACTGTACTCGCGTGCCCAAATTCCTAAAAAGTGAAGCCATCGATTGGCTGTGCTGATACGAATCGTTTTGTTGATACCATGAGCAGGTAATGCAACATTATTGACGTGGTGAAGCAGAGATAGGGGAGTGAGCTGAAATATAAGATACATATAACTTGTCAACTTTGAATCAACAATGATCATAAAAAAGAGATAGTACAAAATGAAATAAGCGTACCTCTCCAGGTATTCTAGATATTGCCCAAGTATGAAGTGAGTTATACAGCTTCTCATCATCAAGCATTGATTTATGCGCTGAAGCAAATCCTCGCTGACTTGAAATCAACTCCTTGAATCTTGAGACATTGATGGCTTGCTGTCGTATCTTCTTTGCTCGACAGACTCCGGAGGTTGGTTTGATGGAAGAGGTTGAATTGTTGGCTCGTCTGCGAATTGATGAGGCTGCAGTTAAAATTGAAGCAGTGACGGCAGGGTCTTTTTCACCGTTGATTGTAAGCTCAAATCGCCGTTGATTGTACTCTCGAAGGTCATCAATGATGGAAGCTGGATAATTGAAGGCTGGATTTTCTTTGGCGTCTTCACGGGCCTTCTCTTCAATGATCATGATGTCTACATTTAAGCTATTATATCGTTCTTCGGCTAATTTTTGGATTTTTTGAGGGAGTGAACTTTTGGTCTTGCTGGATCGATAACGTTCCACACATTCTTCAATCCATGAATTTGAGACAACTACATTAAATCTGTTATTGTTTTCAGGTTTTTCATTTTCATTTTCATTTTTGTTTTCAGTTTCGTTTTCAGTTTTGTTTTTGGTTTCATTTTCATTTTCAGTTTCATGTTGACTGTTTTCAGAAGATTCATTCCCATCGTTGGGATTATCATTAGCAGAGATTTCAAACGTATCACTAGTAGATGAAGCAATGGTGGGTGATGCAGCAGGAGCTGGAGCCGGAAGACGAATAAGCCAGTTGGCAAACATGTTGTTTGATTTTCCCAGAGCCTTTTCTCGATTCAATCTGTAACGTCGTTTAGTTTCTTTAGGTATCTTTCGGGGTAAAAGCTTGTTCGAATTGGCTTGAACACAAGGCTTCTTATACCCTTTGAGGGTATAACCAGTCTTGGTTCTGCGTTTACCAATGAGAGTCGGTGGTTGATTGAGGACAGGGCGAGTAAAAACTGGAAATAAGGTGTTATCGACAAGGTCATTATCACAAGCTTTGTCATCGGAAGAATCAGCAATACCGGCTTGAGCGTAGAGTGAAATATCTAAAGGGTCCATATCATCCTCCTCAGTTAGATAAGCAGGATCGATTGGCATCCAGTAGAGATCAGATGGTTGAAGGATAACCGAATGAGGAGGCTGGGGAGGTTGTGGATTATAACCTTCAGAATCAGAGTCGTCCAAATGAATCATCATTGGAGGTTGAGGTGCGAGATTCTCTGGATTAAGGGCTCTCGTGGATATGAGTTGATCATGTGAATCGATATCGAGTGGTTGATCTTCCGTATCGGAGATCACCACAGGTTTGTTTTGGAGTTTGGCCGTGCGAACCTTTTCCCATCGTTTGGCTTGACCTTTCGAAGCTTTGCTCTTCTTCGGC